GATCTGAAATTCGACAGCTAGCTGTCGAATTTGATCTGTATGTTTTTTTTTTTTTTTTTTGAAAAAATTGCAATTTTTTTTTTGTGAAATTAACCCCAAATATATTGCAATGTAAGATAAAAAAACATATTCTAAGTGTTTTTGGACAAAAAAAAAATTCGACATAACAAAAATATTTTCAATTAAAACAACCAAAATCCATATAAAACTAAATTAAAAAACAAGTAAATCAAATAAAATCAATCAAACAACATCCATCTAAAAAAATACAAGACTAATCCTGTGTTTTTTTTCTTCCTACTAAACACTCGTTTCACACCCGCCTGTGGGGCATCGGACGAGCTCGATGGCGGTGGAATTGGCCCTATCGAGCTACCTGGAGGTGGTGGCGGCTCGATCAATCTGACAATATCATTTAGGGTCCCCCACATGACCGTATGAGCGTCGGATGGCGCAAGTCCCCGCATCTCGCTAAGTGTACCCTTCACCAACTCCAAAATTTGTGAAAGTTGGACATCCTTATTGGTACCACCCCCTGGACGAGCTTCATGGTCTCGAGGTCGATCCGCCTGGGGTTGAGGTGGATGGGCTCCATGCCTACTCAGTTGTAACATGCATCTGGGTCGGAACCAATTCATGTAGTCCGGCGAAGTGTCCGCCTCCCCGAGTTCAACTTCAACGGACCTCGACTCCTCGTCCAGACAATACTCCTCCCACCGATCAGAGAATCGTTCGCCGTACGCAACGAAAATTGAGTTCTGGACCGGTCGACCTTTGCTAACTAAAGCTTTGTACATATCTTTTGACATGTATGCACGACCTGGAATGATTTGCACCCGGTTGAACTGCCTCAACACTCTGTCCGGATGATATGCCTCGAAGTGGTCCATGCAACATATCATCCCACTAAACCAAGCAGAATCTGGCATCGGGAAACGATCACGAATAGCCGTATACGGTGCCCATAAAACCTAGTAAAATAAATAAAAAATTAGATTTAGAAACCTAGTTAAGTAGTAATAACAAATTATTAAACTGGTATTTTACCTGATCGGGGATCAAATCATCTAATCGAGATCGCAGGTACGACGCTCGTTCAGGCGTTGAAGTAGTCTTTGACTGAGGCTCCCATCGGCTCGCTAATGGCCCCTCGAATTCCGTCTTCAATGTGCCACCCGCCAAATAAGGAAAGTGCTCGTAAATCCATGACTGAAAGAGCGTCAGCCAGCCAGCCATCGAGTTCGTTGATTTTTGTGAGGCTGAGGAAAGCTCATCGTACAACCGGCAAAGACATGCAGTGCCCCAAGCATACTCGCCGATCCGATCCAAATCAGATACAAGATTTAGATACTCCACGCTTACCATGTTGCCTGTCTTGTCGCACAATATAGTACAGCCGAGCAAAAATAACAAATACGCCCGAATGGCGTATGTCCTCTTCTCCGCACTATCTCTCATGGTCACTTTGCTAAATTTAGCCTTCAACCATTCCAACTTGACCGCTTTCTTCTTGTTAACATCGTCCGGGTACTCACCTAGCAACTCGAACATCAAACTACTGGGGATCGTTTTGGAATCACGGACCAAACGCTCGCAAGATACGGTACGCCCAACAACTGGCAAACCGACCAACGTACTCACATCGTCAAGTGTGATGGTCATCTCTCCAACAGGTAAATGAAATGTGTTGGTAGCTGGCTGCCATCTCTCTATGAATGCTCTAAGTAGATGGCCGTCCACTGTGTTGTACGATGCCTGTACAACTGACATTAAACCACATCTTTGTACTACCTCTGTAATAAACGGCGCCGGCTCCCAACCTTTTAAAGTTCATGTGTGATTTCGTATTCGAAATTCTGAGCCGCGCTCCGAACGATCTGGCCCTCCGTTCACAATATGATAAGCAATGTGCTTATCAAATTTTGTGTACAATTCCGGTATCTCGGGACCTCGGACCGGTTCGTTGCTCGAATCACCAACTTCTACAGTCGAAGGTAGAGCCGGCACCGGATTCGTTGACGAAGAACCCTCTCCAGACTTCTTCTTGGTCGTGGTCTTTTTCTTGGTCGTGACTGCTATGCCCTTGCCTCTATCGGATAATTCCTTCCTCTTCTTACGGTTCGAGACAGTCGGAGGTATACGAGGTTCACGTGGTTCTTCCACTGCAAAATAACACACAAATAAAAATTAATATACATAATATAAACACAAGCAAAAAAAAATAGGGAAAAAAAAAAAAAAATAAATAAAAAAATCTCACAGTTCAAATTCGACAGCAAGCTGTCGATCTCACAGTTCAAATTCGACAGCAAGCTGTCGAAAATTGGTTGAATTTTCGACAGCTTCCTGTCGAAAATTGGTTGATTTTTCGACAAGTAGCTGTCGAAAATTCAACCAATTTTCGATAGGAAGCGGTCGAAAATTTCACCATGTTTCGACAGGAAGCTGTCGAAATACCAAAATTCCAAATTCAACAATTTCACCATTTTCGACATCTACATGTCGATTTGTGATGAATTTTCGACATCAACCTGTCGAAAATTCAACCAATTTTCGATAGGAAGCGGTCGAAAATTTCACCATGTTTCGACAGGAAGCTGTCGAAATACCAAAATTCCAAATTCAACAATTTCACCATTTTCGACATCTACATGTCGATTTGTGATGAATTTTCGACATCAACCTGTCGAAAATTCATCGAAAAATCGACATATACAGGTCGAAAATGGTGAACGAAGAACCGACCCACGAATCTCAAATCAATGCTCAAATCAACTGAAATCAGATGCACCCATTACTAGTAATTAACGATCATTCTAACCTAAAACAACCAAATCCTAATTACCCATATCAAACAATCAAATCTTAAATAAATATTAAAGAAAAACAATCGAAACAACTATAACTTACTATTCGAAGACGACGACGGCGGCGTTCTTCGGTGTTTGGCGTCGGCGTCCGGCGGCGGCGATGGTTGGAGCGGCGGCGGCGGCGTCGGGCGGCGTGGGAGGGGTGGACGGAGGGAGGGGTGGACGGAGGGAGGTTTTTTTGTGTTTGAATTTTTTTTTTCTTTTTTTTTTTATTTGGTTTTCAAATAGGTAATTTCAAAGAAAAATTGATGTAATTAGTATTTTGTATGAAAGGGTATTTTTGTACTTTTATTTTTATTTTGGTATTAAAGTAAGAAAAAACTTATAAATATGTACTCAAATATGGTTTTCAACTTGGTAGTATTCAACTAAGCAAAAATTAGTATTCAAAATAGTTGCCCCCTTCCTTAAGGGTTATATTATATATATATATTTTTTTATTTTTTTGAGTTATTGAAGAAAGAAAAAATATTATTCATTTTAACGAACCTAAAATAACCGGAGACGCTTGCTAAAATCACCTTAATTTATTTACTTCCCAAAAACGACGTCGTTGATAACATCTCTGCGAGCAAATTATCTTGGCGACTACCGAGTTTAGAAAAGTTTCAGCGCATCTCCCCAACCTGCAATCTCAACTCAGAGAGCCAAAACAAACCCTAGAAAAATGTCGGGCGGATTTTTCCGGGTAAAAATTCCCCGCTTTCTATTCGATTTCTCTCCAATTGCATATAATCTGTATTTATCTTAATTGAAATCCGCTGTCTCAAATCTTTAATTGCTTCAGCTGAATTAGGTCTTCTTGTTCTGTTACTAATCATCGTTTTTCCACAAAATGTGAATTAGGGCACGTCCGCCGATCAAGACACTCGATTCTCGAACAAGCAAGCGAAGTTACTCAAGTCTAAGAAATTCGCCCCTGAATTGGATAACCTGGTTTGTTTTCGGAGCTTCTTTTTCAATAAATTTGTGCCCTTTATTGGTCTTTCTTTGTTATTCAAGGCTATAGACCGTTTTGCGTTGGATATAGTAGAACTTGAGTTGATGCCAGGTGAAGATCTTTACACACCTCGGCGAATTTTATGTGAAACCCATATGAAGAAAATTCCCAATTTCCCATTGCCTCCACAATGGCTACTTAGATATGTCTTGGGTGTTTTGATGTTTGATTGCTTCTTTTATATTATTGCCTTTGTTGTAAAATTTTCTGTTTAGGTGGACATGACGAAAGTGAAGATGGATGTTATGAGGCCTTGGATTGCAAAGCGTGTAACGGAGCTAATTGGATTTGAAGACGAAGTGCTTCTAAATTTTATTGATGGTCTTTTGGAGGGGAAGGTAATTTGCTCTGGTATCTACTTTCTTGTTTGAAGGGGAAAAAATTGAATGCACATCCTTTAGCAAACTGTTGTTTATATTAGGTGATAAATAGAGAAACAACATAGGTTATTGGTGTTGAAATACAGGCTCACTGTTCTTTGACATATATATCATGGATTTTTATCTTAAGATGTGATTTTGTTATATCATCCCGTGAAGCTTGGGTTTTTTCTAAAGCAGATGAGCATTTGTATGATATCAGTTACTTAATTCTAGGAAATATATAATGTTTAAAAGGAATGGGGTGGATGTTGTTGGATGCAGGAAGTTAATGGGAAGGAGATCCAGATTTCACTTACTGGATTTATGGAGAGAAATACGGGGAAGTTCATGAAAGAGCTCTGGGTGCTGCTTCTGAGTGCGCAGCAAAATGTGAGTGGTGTCCCCCAACAGTTTCTGGATGCCAAAGAAGAGGAAACCAAGAAAAAGCAGGTTGATTTTCTGCTTTCCTGATGTATAGATTTTCTATTTGCATATGTGATTACCGCTTTATCTTTTTCTGATGATGCCTTTTTTCTTGGAAATAACAGGCAGAGACAGATCGCATAGCTGGTGAAATTCAAAGGCAAAAAGAGAAGGAGAAGCAAGAAATTGAGCTAGAGAAAGCAAAGATGGTAACTATAATCTTTTCCATGCAAGAGTTTGATTGTATGAAGCAGAGTTTTTCTCCTTAACTTCTGTCCTGTTTCGTTGCACTCAGCTTGCTTCTGCTTCTGCAATTATTTCGGTTCATATCCTTACATCAAACTGCTGTAGGACCGCGATCGTGCAATGTCAAGAGATAAGCATATTGATCTGGAGCCTAATGTGAAACATGGTGCTGGGGTGTCTAGCATCCAGCCAGCCCAAGGGAAAGAACTGCACATGAGAAATGGCCGGGGTCAACGCAGCAGCAGGTACTGTGAATTTACAATTGATTGCTTGTTCAATATATTTAAGTTTTCGTGTTAGTATTGCATGTTGTAAGAATTTGAAACAGATTTAAAGGGATCATGCTTTAATTATTGAACATAACTTTCATGCTCTCAACAGTTTGTTAAGGTTGCAACAATTTCTATTAGGCTATCTTTGCGTGGTGGAAAAGTTTACATTTTAGTTTTCCGAATACCTCAATTATTGGACTCAATATCATATCTTTCCACTGGACAGTGGACACTGAATATAATACCTTTTTGTTTCAAGCAACGAGCAAAAGTTAGCTACTTTATCCTCCCTGATTCTTGTCATATCATACCATATCAAGGACTGTTCTCATGTTAAAAGGTAGAAGCTTGTGGATTTCTTCAGCTACCTGTATCCTAGATGGCATGGAATGATTTGTCCACATGTTGATCTTTACTCTAAAGTTTATAATTAATTGGTGCTACTGACCATAATGCAAATCTGAAGTCCTGCGAATTGTTGGGTTCCATTGAATATTTAGCTTGTTCATATGTTACTTTTGAAAGTCTTTTTGTAGGTGTAGCAACTACTACTATTTCTTCAAATCATTTATGTGTTTTTTTTGTGAGGAAGAAAAAGGGCCTAACTGTAGTTATATATATTACGCAGCTCTGTGTGCTATGTTAGACTAACACTTGTTTCATCTGTACAGGGGTTCACAGTCTCCAGATTCCCCTCATGATTCACCATCGCTGAGGTATGCATGCCCGCTATGATAAAAAAATATTAGTGATCCATGTCACCGAGTGATTTTGCTCTCTCGCCATGATAGTTAATTAGTTTTTTCTTCTTATGAGCAGTCTAGAAGTTATATTAGAGTAGGTTTCCGCTTACTGAAGAGCTTGTCTGTCATCTTCTTGATGATACTATCCTTGAATCTGCTTCTATAGTGAAAGGCGAAGGTCAAGAAGCACCTCCAAAGCACCACCATCTAGAAGTCGCTCCGTTTCCTCAGAAAGACGTCTCTCTTCACCAAGACGCTCCGTCTCGCCTCGTCGGAGGCATATTGTTCGCCGTTCTCCTTCGCCATGGCGCAGATCATCGCATTTGAGGCGAAGATCACCTTCCCCTTCACGTTACAGGGTTCGTTCTCCACGGCGTTACAGGTCGCGATCTCCCATGCGCCGTCGATCACGGTCCCCTGTGCGGCGTAGGTCGAGGACACCATTACGGAGATCACGATCCCCTGCGCGGCGTAGGTCGAGGACACCATTACGGAGATCACGATCCCCTGTGCGTGCTATACGGCGTAGATCACCCTCTCCTATTAGAGGAAGATCTCCATCTCCATTGCGAGGCCGTTCACCATCTCCACGTCGCCGGTCACCATCTCCTCGTCGACGGTCACCATCTCCTGCAAGAAGGCGGAACCGACGTTCTCCTTCAACTCCGCGGAAGCAGTCTGCATCTCCAATTCGACGTAGGTCCTCTTTGCATGGTCGGAAAAAATCAAAAACCCCTGTCCTTCAAAGATCTCCTTCTCACGGATCAAGTTCCCCCTCACACATTCATCGGAGTTCCCTTTCACCAGTCAGGAGGGGATCGAAGAGTGTGAGATCACCTGTACAATCTTCTGGGGAAAGAGTCAGGTACAGTAGTTTCTTTCTTCGCCTCCGGTTTATCAAATTGGTTTCTAGAAGAATAACACATTATCTGAATCTGAATAAAATGGTAAGTTTGAAGAACTGTTAGAGTAGTTCCAAATAACTCTTTGCCCGTATGCATTGTGATTGAATCAATATTGTTCAGATTAAGAAGCTTGTTTTCTTCAAAATAAGCTACATTACTTAAAAAACCACTGATTGCAGTCAAGAAGCTAAGAATATCATGGCAGTACATCATACATCTTCCTTTCAGTGACTCACTCAAGTTCTGAACAGAAAAGGCTCGTTTTAGTGATCTTATCCTGGCTTCCGGCTCATTGTTTAATCTCTATGCAAAACCTGAATAAACCTAGTTAATCTAATATAAGAGAGCCTGAAACTGTAATCTGATCTGCAGTTTGTACTTTGTATTCTTAGATAGATGGTGTAAGTTGTAATTTTTGCGAAAACTTTTATCAAATTTCTTATGTATGCGAGTGCAGCAAATAAGTGTTCAATTTCCTTGTTGAAGGAAAATGTGGTAGTAGCATCAGCTAATAAAACAATTTTTTTTGTCCGTTCAAATTTTAATATACAACACAAGGTAGTATGTATAAGATATCACCTGGCTATTAATTGTCTTGAAAAGTTGACTACCTCTGTAAACTTCATTTGTGCAGCCTCACAACTGAACTGGATTTTCAAATGCTAAATCTATTTTTAGTAGCAGCAACTATACAACGGGAAAAACATTGTGCCTCTTAGAGTGACTGTTGCAATCAATTTGATCTTCATTTCAACATCATATGGCTAACTTTAATTCACTTGTCACATGGCAGACGGTATGAGAAGTATTCTCCTGCTCGTCGTGCTTCTCCCGATGAAAGAAGCGAACTCCCTGTCAAGAACCGTAAAGGAAGAAGATCTGTGGAGCGTGGGCCCATTGTTTCTCTGAGATCACCACAGAGGGATATGCTGGATCGAAATGATTTAAATGGAAAAGGGGGGGAATCGCCACCTATACAGAAGTCTCCATCCGTGTCAGATTCTTCCAGGGGCCGAAGACATAGTGATGAACAAAGGTCCGAACATCTACCTTTTGGTCTTTCTAATGTATTTGTAAAAGATTATTTCAATTATGGAATTTATTCTTCTAGGTCAACTAGTCCTCGTGGTAGTCCATATGGAAGGAGGGAAAATATGTCTCGTCCTGAGAGCCCAATTCCATTGCGAAGAGGTGCTGGGCAGAAACCTAATCGTGATAGTTATGGGACAAGTCCAGATGACAAGAATGTCTCTAGCAGGTTTTGCATGAATATTCATTATTGATGAGCCTATCTTTTATAATCTCAGTTTGTCACTTCAGCATTCTTTCATGTTCTTTTAGGGAGATCAAAGAATACAATAAATCCTCAACTGCCCGTCATAAGGATTTACATGACTCAGCTGAAATCCGTGGTCTCACCGACGATACAAGGGCAAGGAAAGCCAATCTGCCTAACAGGTGCCGTATCTATAATGTTTTGCTTCATTTATTGGTGTTCTATTGCTAATCCAGTTTGATATATTCCCAGTATATTTCTGTGGCAGGCTACTTGACGGAGTCGATCATAAAGAACATGAACGACAAGAATTGTCTTCAAGTACCAGAACTGCTAGTTTGAGTGTGAAAAGAAAGGAGTCGTATGATGTTGATGGTGCTGAGGTGAAGGATAAGAAAATAGCTCGGCCAGATGATAGTAAGGCTGGTTATAGGTTTCCAGAACTGGCAGATGATCGGAATGGTTCATTGGATTCTTCCTCCAAGGAAACTGGTGAGCATGGAGTTAAAACAAAAGAAAAGAGGAAGCACAAGAAATCTGGCCGACAAGAGGTGGAATCAGATGATTATTCTAGCAATGATTCCTATGGGGACAAGAAGGATTCCAAACGAAGGAGAAAAGAAGAGAAGAAATTGAAAAAGGAGGAGAAACGTCGACGGCGTGGGGAGAGACACCGCAGAAGAGACGAACGTCATGCTGAAAAGCTAAAATTGAAGTCAGGTGATGCAGGTAGTTTGTCGCCAGATCTGGCGCAAGATCAATCTGAAGATGAGAGTGTTAGACGAGACTCACGGGCAAACAACATTCAGGAGACTGAGTTTGAGCAGAAAAAGCTCGAGATAGAGCTTCGCGAGAAGGCCCTTGAGTCTCTCCGAGCCAAAAAGGGATTTGGCAATTGATCTTTCGACAACTGTTATTTATGATTATGTTCTCGTTATCAGTTTTTTTTATTGTTTCTAGACTTTGCGTAGTTTTGGATGAATGTACTCCTGATATCTGCTTAATTTGATCTATCTTTACTGGTGGCAGCTGAAATGGATAAATGACGATTTCCTGAGCTTATGTTGAGTGAAACTTTATGCTGACTTTCCTGCTAAGTTTTCTGGTAATACATGTCTTTCCCTTTGCTGGGAATGCTTTTGTTGCTTTTTCATCATATAATTCATCTAGATATCAATCATCTTATTGCTCGGCTGTGAGCTTTCATGTTTGACATGCTCGAGTTCAATATAGTTACATTTTTTATTTGCACTTCTTACGCGAGTCGAGATTTTGTTTTTTGTATCTTTATGATATAACTGATGTAGTTATGAAGGTGTTGGCAGCCTAATTCTCTGTCTACAACTTTGTTACTAAAGGACCTTTCTGATTAATTGATAGATATGAATATTAGCACCTAGATGACTTGGTTGAGCAAATCTTTCGCAGCTCCTTAATCTCGATTCTCGACTGATCAAACAGGTACTTTTTATATCCTTTAGTCGGCCTATCCTGGACAACTGTACCGAATTACTGATTTGGCCTGTACATGGTTGGCAGCTTGAGAGTTGTTCCAACTAATACGCACCTGAAGGTGATATAACTGCTGCAACGGTGACATTTGAATTGCGTTGATCAAATATGCTGTAGTTTGTACATTGATTTTTTTTTGAATCTATGTTTACTGTTGCTTTGTCACCTTCACCTCAAGTTAGGCACCTAGATTCTGCCTTTATGTTTGAGCTAATACAGGTGTTGTGTTCCCCCTTTAGTGTCACCACATGTTTCGGTTTGTATCCGACTCTAGAGTACTTTTGACAACCGTTGACTTGTCTTAAACCATCTCAACGACGCGCATACGTTGGCTATACTTCATTATCCTGCATGTTGTGTACGGAAACTTTCATTTACCTGAGTGGCCGTGTCAGTAATGTAGATCTCCGACGTCTGGTTTAATCATATGAAGTGCAATGAATTGTAAAATAGGGACTGTTTGCAGGGAATCGCATCACATCTATTGTTCTTGGTGCTTTAGAGTGTAGATAAGATAAACTCCTCAGGAAGTATGAAACGTAACGATGAAATGGTGTTGGTACGTGCCAGAAAGTATGTTTACTGTGTCGACTTATCTTCAGTTGATTGGTATTGAATGTGTTTTCAGATTTCGTGTGTGAATGAGATCGAATTCTAGGCTGTAGATATGTTGTTTGCAATTATATTGGATGTGTTAATAGGTTTTCGATGTGTTGTTGAGCTTTAAATTTAACTTGTTTTCGTCTAATGGTTGAATCTCTCGATTTCGATATGGAAGTTGTAGTTGAACTATTTCTCTGTTTGGTTATATTGTTCCATTTTTTACTTTTTTTTAATGGTAGCGAAGGAACCCGCAGCCAACCATATATGTGCATTGGGTAAATCTACACTCTTGTATAATAGTTTGCAAACCATACGAAATACGTAAACCACACTAGGCTAACCATGCGCGACACACTAGCGACTGTTTGCAGGGGATATGAACATGGATTAATTGACACATGCTCTCTTGCTCCAACTGCTAGGACATCCTTTGCGAGACTATTGTACCACTTCTTTGCTTCTTTAGATTCATGTTAAATTGGTCAATTAAACTTGTATAATACAGTTGGGACTAGTAAAATTCTATTAATTCAACGAAATATTAAATTATCGAACTAATAATTTAGTACACTTTTACTCAGTTATTAATTTGTCGAGGTTCTGCCGCAAGTATACTAGACATACTCTAGCAACAATCTTCATATTATTAAGTAGATAAAGCACAAGACAGGTGGCATTTTCTGATTGGACGACAAGCTACACACCATCTAGCATTAAAACTAAACCAGAACTGGGGGTGTGGACTGTGGCTCTCTATCATTTATTCATATGGATAATACATAATTGGAGAAAAAAAAGGATGAAGAAAAACTGATACATTATCGTTTTCTTCTTCTTCTTCTTCCTCCTCAAACCCTTCAATGGCGCCAACTCTCACTTCAAATTCCTTCCTCCTAACCACCACTCCCCATTCAACGCTCATCACTCGCAAGAGTCGCCACCACTACAGGCCGGTTGTGTTCGCCAAAAAATCCGCCGACGATTCGTCGAATTCGACCCCCTTCTTCAACTTCGATTTCGACTTCACCAAATTGCCCGATGTTAAATCTCTAGTTCCGGTGGTGGCGGCGAATCCGTCGTCTGGACTCAATTTCGGAAACCAGAGGCGCAAAGATCCAGGCACTGTGTTCGTAGCCGGCGCCACAGGTCAGGCCGGAATCCGCATTGCCCAAACCCTACTCCGCCAGGGCTTCAGTGTTAGGGCTGGAGTCCCCGACCTTTCCGCCGCCCAGGAATTAGCTCGATTGGCTGTCAATTACAATATCATTTCCAACGCGGAATCGAAGCGGCTCAACGCCGTCGATTCCGCATTCGAAGACCCGGAATCAATTGCCAGAGCCATCGGAAACGCCAGCAAAGTCGTCGTCACGATCGGCCCATCTGAAAACGGCCCCAACGCCCAAGTAACCACATCCGACGCCTTCCAAATTATCCAGGCGGCGGAATTGGCCAACGTCGGCCACGTGGCTATAATCTACGACGGCTCTTCTGCAACCGCCTCCACCAACAACGTTCTCGATGGCATCTCTTCCTTCTTCAATAACCTCTTTGCCAAATCTCAGCCGCTCACGATTACGGAGTTTCTGCAAAAACTGGCCACCACCAATGTCAGCTACACCTTGATAAAGACGAAGCTGACTGAAGACTACGCCGCCGAGAGTTCGTACAACCTTGTTGTCTTGGCTGAAGGGAGTGCTGGTGCAACCGACTTCAAAGTAATGCAATAATAATGTATGCATTATCTGTTCTACCAATTCTTTTTAAGGTTCCTCACAAACTATTACTAATCCTTGTAATTTTCTCTCGCTGTGAGTAGCAGGTTGCGAAATCGCAGATAGCTTCACTGGTGGCTGAAGTTTTCTCCAATACATCGGTTGCGGAAAATAAGGTATTGCGCGTTAGGATAAAACGAGTTAATATTGTTAATTTTTGTGATAGAACAAAGTGGTTAACTGCTTTTACGATCCGCTTAATTTGCCATCGATCATGTTGTTTTTTTTTTTGTTGGCCAATCTGCAGGTTGTTGAGGTATTTACTGATCCATCAGCACCATCAAAGGCAATTGATGAACTCTTTAGGTAATGAATCAATCAAATGCGTAGTATATTATGATATAATACGGGCTTTCGTAAACATGTTCCGAGGGTTAACTAAGTAATTTTAATGGTCTCACATACACAGTGCGATTCCAGAGGATGGAAGAAGAAAGGCGTATTTAGACGCCGTTGCGAAAGCAAAAGCGGAGGAAGAAGCTATAAAAGCATCAGAAGAAGCTCGAGAAGCAATAGAGGAAGCTCGTGAAGCAGCAGAAGCAGCAAGGAGCCTCGAGGGAGAAGTGCAAAAGCTGAAACAAAAAGAAGCAAGAACTGCGAGCGTGGCAGCCGAAGCTCAAAAGAAAGCAGAAGCTGCAGGTGCGTCGGTCGAGAGTTTCTTGAGTAAAGCCAAAGGCATGACATCGGGCATGACATCAGGCATCCCGTCAGGGTTATCGTGGGAAACATTGAGTTCTCAGATTAAATCAGCCGTTCAAAAGACCGACGACGAGGAACCGAAAGTGAGGATTGCTACAGTTAGAGGACAGGCTAAGGCTCGATCTCTGCCTTCTCTAAAGGCGGTAGTGAAGAAGCCACCCCCTAAACCTAAGGATACTCCAAAACCAAAAGCTAAAGAAACGGAGAAACAAACGAGGAACGTGTTTGGAGGTTTATTTAAGCAAGAAACCATCTATATAGATGATGACTAGAGTTATTACGTGTGTGCATGCGTGCTAAGAGTATAAATATCTTTTCGAGGTATGTATGTATTTCGGATAAACCCCTGTCCAGAATTTGAAATGCAAAAAACAAAGGTGTTTTACTGACACCAACTGGATAGGCAACATAAATTAATTTCTTGTCTATAGATAATTTCTTTGCAAACTCACGTTTTTTTTTTTGTGGATGTCGAATGGATGTTTACATAAATTATTCCGCTGAATTTTCGTTTTTAAATTCAGTAAAACTGGTGTTGAGCTCACAACACAGAATATTTATCGAGCTTGTTATCTGCAGTACTTCTGAAAAGCAATTCTTAAAGCCACAAAAGGTGGGCTCTGTCGGAAAACATGGGAAGTATGTTCTAATGGCTAAAAAAATGTGAAGCGATTTGGTGACGAAAGTTGTGAAGTTTCATGCTAATTGCTAATTTCCACTAAACGTCACATGATTATGAGCACGTAAATGGAAGTTGCATTTGTTAAATCGAGACTTGTAGAACCAACCAAGTCCTCAAATGACCATTTAACGAAAAATAGTTTCGACAGATTTTCCTCCAATCTCGATGAATCGAACCATGGTTAAGCAGAAGAATCATTTTCCGAGCAGAAAGATATGCAAATCGGCTGTTATTTCGGGAATATTCCTCTACTTAATTTACATCTTCTTATCCACTCATCCCTGTTGCAAATCCTCCGAGCGGTTAACTCCATTAACAATTCCTACAAATATAAGCCATCTTTTCTTCGGGATTTCTGGTGCATCGGACGCATGGAGCAGCAAAAGACACTACATCCAATCATGGTGGAAACCTAACACAACCCGAGGAATCATCTTCTTCGACAAATCCCCCGTCCAGCATTTGCCATGGCCTTCCAACTCACTGCCTCCGTTTCGCGTCTCGGAGGATAACTCGCGATACAGAGAGTACAACAAGCACAAGATGCCGTTTGTGATAAGAACCCTTCGCGTGATCGAAGAGACATTCAGAGTAGTACAGAACGACGAAGGCGATGTGAGATGGTACGTAATGGCGGACCACGACACGGTTTTCATGATCAATAATCTTGTCGAGACTTTGTCGAAGTACGATCACACAAAGTACTATTACATCGGGATGAATTCCGAGTGCATCGTTTCGAATATCGTGTTCTCTTTCGAAATGGCGTTTGGTGGAGCTGGTTATGCTCTGAGTTACCCCCTCGCGAAAGCTCTGTCTTCGAATATGGATCTCTGTATCAAGAGGTATCCGACTATGTTTAGCAGTGATCAAATCTTACAGTCATGTGTGCATGATTTGGGTGTCTCCCTTACTCAAGAAAAAGGGTTCCATCAGGTAAACACCAATATGCCAGTCGATTTTGCATAAATCACGAACAACCCCTTGAGGTAAAACCAAATTACGAAAAACACCCCTCTAGTTTGCATAATTACCTTTTACCCCGTTGAGGTATGTGCCGCACCCCTCTAGTTTGCATAATTACCTTTTTCACTTACGGCGTCCATAATAAAAGAATCTTTAAGATTCCAAGAATATTCCTCCAAAATATAGGTAACCGGACGGGCCCTAATTTAATAGAAGGTGAGTTTAAGGTGTAAATGTAATTTTACAGACAAGAAGGGGCATTTTTGTAATTAAGATATACTCTAGGGGTTCATTCGTCATTTAAATTTTCTATTTTAATCTTATTCAAGGGCATTTAAGGTGGTGTTTGGAAATGCTTTTAGAAATAGATTATGACTTATTTCGTAATTTGACCTTACCGCACCGTGTAAACGAAATTTTGCAGATTGATTTTCACAGAGATATATCAGGGTTTTTATCAGCTCACCCTCACTCACCATTGGTGTCCCTACACCACCTCGACGCTGTGGACCCCATCTTTCCGTCCACGAACCGTGTCGAATCGGTCAACCATCTCATGAAAGCAGCGGCAGTTGACCAGTCGAGATTACTACAGCAAACCGTATGCTATTACAAGAAACACAACTGGACATTCTCTGTTTCGTGGGGCTATTCCGTTCAAATATACGAGGAAATTTTGCCTCCGAGCTATCTTCACAGACCGCTCGAGACTTTCATTCCGTGGAAGAAGGGGGCAAACCCCCCTTACATGTTCAACACTCGGGCAATATCGAAAGACCGGCCTTGCGAATCTCCACATTTCTTCTTCTTTGATAGTGTGGAGGAAAAATATAGAGTGATGGATCATATTGTAACAAGCTATGCTAGAAGATCTCTTCCTGGTAATTGCAACTCGACAGCTGGCGGCTCTCGTTCGGCTGATTCCGTATCGAAAATTCGAGTGCTTTCGCCATTGGGAAAACTTGGATGGCAGGTACGTAATTGATTAATCATAAGTGCATGCATGCATGCATGGATGTATAGTTTTATATTAACGACTTAATTATAATTAATGTTTATTTATTTATTTAATTCTGTTATTAATGTGTTTTTAGGGTGGAGGCAGAAGAGAGTGCTGTGATGTAGTGCAGATGGTGGGAATGGATTCACTGGCTGTGAAATTGAGGGACTGTATGAATGATGAGATGGTATAGGTTTGTATATATATATATAATAGAATAAAAATAAAATAAAAACAGTTGTATTTAAATTTAATAGGTCTAAAGCTTACGATAGAGTTGAACGGACATTTTATTCGAGTTAGTCAGATCGGGTACCCGAATTTTGGGATAAAATTCATATTTACTGTCCCCAACAAACAATCAGTATTGCAAGTTAGATGCTACACCTGATTATTTATACATGGTGAATTTGAACTGTAACTTTGATTTAATAACTATCCACTGAGCACGTATGCTGACATATACATGTGTGATTATGTGTAGATTTACGGTTCAAACCCATTCGGCGCATGTAATCAGACTTAGCATCTAATATCCCTAATCAGTAACATACATTTCATAATCTCCAGTTACATTTCTTTTACATTAGTAAAATGTGTATATATACAATATATACGTACAATTTTCTTTTCTGAGACATATATAAAAGGCCAGCAAATAATTGAATATAGAAGAAGTGGGATCGGAACTTTGAAACGTGTCCAGCGGAAGATGGCGGATGAGCTCCAAGTGTTGCAGATGCAGCAAATTACTACTCCCGCCGAAGAACGCACGCAATTGCGGGTCCCACAATTTTTTAACCGGCGCGTGTGGACGTGTGATTGGTCCACGTGTGCCGGTACGCTTCCAGGAACCACGCTGATGCATCTCCGCCGCCGATGATTCACACTGCGATTGCACCACCGCTTGACACATGCCTCCTACCTATTCAGCCCCCACCTGACCACCACAATATTCCATTACTTTATTTTTAATTTTCCCTTTGCCTTTTTTTTTTTTTTTTAAATTTTATTTTTCTTCATTGACTGTATAAATTCCTTTCATACACCATACCGATCAATCATTTAAAACCTAATTTATGAATTCTCGAAGGACAATTCTTAACTGTTGGTGGCCGCAATAACAATGGCGGAGATATGCAGTACGGGGGTGGTGGGTGAGATCAGCGGCGATGACAGCAGCGGTAGAGCGGCTAGGAGGCGGAGAATGGAGCTCCGCCGCGTCAGGCTGGAACCAGATGGTGTTAAGCGTCGTCGTTTAGACCTCGGCGATTGCGATCAGAGTGAACGCCAATTGGCGTTCCCAAACATCGTCGGCGGCGATAAACCACCGAAATTCGGAATCGCCTCCGTCTGCGGGCGGCGGCGGGATATGGAAGACGCCGTCGCTGTCCACCCTTCCTTCTGTGAACGATCGGAACACGAAATTACCAGTCCAGCTCTCCACTATTTCGGCGTCTACGACGGCCATGGATGCTCTCATGTGCGTCATTACATAAATATTAAAATATATAAAATCAATTATGCATACATACATACACACATACATATATATTTTTTCTGTGTTATTTAATTTATTCGATTGCATATAAATTGACTAAGATCAGGTAGCTACAAAGTGTAAGGAGAGGCTGCACCAGATGGTGAAGGAAGAACTACGTGTGGTGGACGATGATGATGACAAAGACGACGTCGTTTCGGAGGGCAGAATGAATACTAGGGATGTGGAGTGGTGGAAGTGCGTGATGGGGCGAAGCTTCACTCGCATGGACAAGGAAGCTGTTGCAATATGTAACCGAAACGACGACGATCGTGTGGCCACCTGCCGGTGCGAGCTCCAGACGCCGGAGCGAGAAGCCGTCGGATCGACGGCGGTGGTCGCCGTTGTCACTCCGGACAAAATCGTCGTGGCTAATTGCGGCGACTCCAGGGCGGTGCTCTGCCGCAACGGCAAGGCTGTGCCTCTGTCCACCGACCACAAAGTGAGTAGTAATGTACTAGATTTCGCCTCTTTATTTTTATTTATAATAAGTTTCGATGAGTCTGATTGGATTGCAGCCGGATCGGCCGGACGAGCTTAGCCGGATTGAGGCAGCGGGTGGCCGAGTAATTTATTGGCAGGGTGCTCGAGTTCTTGGAGTTCTCGCCATGTCTAGAGCCATTGGTAAGCCTTATTAATTAAGATAGTTAATGAATTTGCTTTGAAATGTTGATTATTCCGTTCGTAATCGATTTACGGTTTCATTTTTAGGATAATTATGATTGTATGCATGTGTAATGTTATTATATATAACGACAGGAGATAATTATTTGAAGCCGTATGTCAGCTGCGAACCTGAGGTAACGATGACAGACAGGACAGAAGAGGACGAGTGCTTGATTTTGGCGAGCGACGGGCTGTGGGACGTGGTGTCCGAGGACACTGCTTGCGGCATTGCACTTATGTGCCTCAAAGGGGGGACAACGGCTGCGCCGCCACCACCACCACCACCACTGCCCTCGCCGGAAAGTGAGAGCTCCGACAAGGCTTGTAACGATGCGTCAATGCTGTTGACAAAGCTGGCCTTGGCCAGGAGAAGTTCTGACAACGTCACTGTTGTTGTCGTTGATCTCACGACGAAGCCCTCGTGAATGTGGACCTCTCTCTCTCATGGCGTCCGTTTTAGTTTTTCGTTACTTGGTACTTTTTTTTTCTTTTACTTTTTTTTCCCCTCATGAAGATAGAAAAATGTCGAAAATCCGTCCTCCTTCAAAATAGTGTAATACTGAAATATTCTGGACCTTGTAAATATCCACAATTTACTTTCCTTAAACGTTTGACTCTTACGACAGGCTTTGCCTTCCCACTAAATTTTACTAGGTTGAATCAACTAATCTAATTACTTAATCGAATGGTTAATCCGACTTAGTAAATTAAATTAAGTGACAGCCACAAACTATCTACAGATTCAGGGGACTCAGCAAGATTAATAACACAACAAATAAATTTAAGTTGAATTTCACCCAACCGAGTCAACGACTACTGGTTAAGTAATACGAGAGCAGCACAAACTGAAATAAGTATGGAGTTTCATTAATGCGGACACAAAATCCATAACAAACTGTTAAACGCAACAGCAATTGGACACAAAAAGCAATTGCACACGGGAAGCTGAGGTGTACTACAATTCGATCATTTGCACACGATGCTTCAAAATCACCAAACCTACATGCCAATTATCTACGGTACTCACTTTTACGTTTTCTTCAGCCCGGTGTCATCTCCTCCACTCTTGAGCTCCTTCAATTTTCTGTAACCCTTATCAGTACCAAATATCCTGCACAAAAGTATAAACAAGTCAAAACAGTTAAAATTTAGATGCTTCTACGACAATCTTAAATCCTGAGAGGAATGTGGGTGAAATAAATACAATGCTAACGATTTCATGCCAATCAATTTCTCCAGGTCAAATTATGGTAAAATTTACGAAATGATACTATGGAAGTCAGGGATTCCACCTCCATATTATTTGTAATTACCGGCCAAAGCTTCTAGTTATAATACCAACTAACAAGTAAATAGCCATCAGATTACATACAGCTGTAGCTATTTACTTCGGAGCAGATCCTGTATTCTCAATCCAGAACAATTTTCTTAAGGTTTTCACTCAAGTTCCCAAATCAGACTTTTAAATAAAAATTAGCCCCTTAAATTTGCACTGTCACATGCTTATGCTTGACTAGAACAGTGCATGCAGTTCCCCTAATTTATCCAGAAGTTTAAGATCGTATCCAGAAACCATGTCAGAGAATTGTTTTCTATTTGGGGCATAGTAGTTTCGAGTAACCTATGTGTACAAGGTTTTCGTCATCATTAATGCATCTTCATGTAGACATTAAAATTTAAATTACAGGCAAAACCGTATCCCTGTAATTGACCAAGAAAGGAAACTAACATCACAAATCAGGGCATCAAAATCTCACCAGTCCATGTAAATAAAAGTTGACGAATAGTTGCCACTCTTTGTGTATAGCAGCCGGTGATGATAGTCATGAAAATCAGCGCTGAGAATCCAGAGAAGAAATTTTAGACATGAGGGTGAACTAGAAACATGATAAACCTCGTATCAGAATAATAATTAAGGATGTAAGAATACAGACCCTCCATATAAAGGCAAGAAGTTAGAAAGACTCCAGGGGAAATGGTATCCACAATGTGCCTCGACCGTTTCAAGGACTCTGAGAACCATCCACAACCACAAAGTTATCAGATGAGGACCAGTGATGGCGGGACCCACTATTGTTGCAAACCCAAGAAACAGAATCTCAGCAGGATGAGCATATTCAGAAGTCAACCCAAACGGTGTTGCATATCTGTAAGGATTTCATTGGTAAAGGGAGAGAAACACAAAAGAGTACAATAATTCTAGAAACCACAAACAAAAGGAAATTTTGAAGGACCAAATGCTGATAGTTTTACTCACTCGTGATGGACACTGTGGACGTGCTTGTAAAGCCATTTTGTATGTAAAATCCTGTGTCCCCAGTAGAAAACAAAGTCCTCCAAGATGAAGTAGAATAAAATCTGAGTTGAGATTACCTTCCTGCAAAATCAATTCCCATGATCCAAACTCAAGAAAATATGGAAAAGAAGTTGTCGTACAACTTAAGATCCTGTGCCAAATGGAGAAAGCAATAATTGGGCTGACATGGCATAAAGACTGTATCTTAACTTTTATTTTATTAATTGACCAGAGGCTTCTTTTTGGATGGGAGTCTCGGTGGGATAAAATAGAGATCATTTTGAGGTATCCCACAACCCTAAATAGACACTAAATACATTCTGACTAATCAGTTAACTGAGACCTTCAAAGTAGATACTTTCGTGTGGGGTTTTAGCAAATTATCGAGCATTTTGAGATAATCAAACTGAAAAGATAAATTAGTCATTGCCATGTTTTTCTTAAGGAATGAAATTCCATATAATGCACGTAAGAGAACTGATGCCCTAAGGATTTAATATTTTTTGTTACAAACAAGATAACTAGACATTCATCTGGCCAAAAGGAATGCAATAAATATAAGTTAACTAGATGTCATACCCATCATAAAATTTGAAGGAACTTGATAACCAAGTTATCATACGCTAAGCGTCATAGACCTTGTAACACAAGCTTTAGTATATAAAGAACCTGAATATACCAGGACGGCAATGGGAGAGAACTTCGCATCCCCATGAATCTGAAGACAGGATAGGATAGAATCATAACAGGTAGATTGACACCAAAGTGATATAGCAGTAGCTTAGTGATACATCTCTCTTGAGCGGCAGAGGTGTTGTTTTTACTCTGCAAGAACCAAGAAAACAATAACTCAAGTCTACTAAAAGATATTCAGATGAAAATACCAAAGCTCAGACGTTTTTATGACTGTTCCCTCATCCACAACGGAAGGGGTGGATAGTTCTCAGTTACTTTGGTTATCTTATTGTGCAGGCAAAGAGAATGCCTGGAGTATGAAAAAGTTGAGATAATGCAAATTTATTTGTGGTTTTAAGATCATGCCATCTCGAACAAGAAGCCGTATAAATGACAGTGTCACAGAGACAACCAGACCCATGAAACAACAGTAAATATGAAGACAATAAAGTGAAACCTGAATTTTGTACTTGCTCAGCCATCCTGCCCTTTCCAAATATATAAACGGAAGACCCGAGAAAAAGAAGATGCTTTCATGAAGAAAGAAACTTCCAAGACAAGCCAGTTGAAAGTCGCTAAAATGAGTGATGAGATACTGCAACAATGAAATAATATAATGTAAGCCCAGTGAAACATTTAACAAGAGAAGGAAGAGTCTTCATACTGACACATATTGCACACACTGTAATAAAAACAGTCGAGTTTAACTAATATATACCAACAAGTGGAATTCTCAACGTAGCCATATCAATTATTAGAAAATTTGCTAGACTTAAAATCATCTTTCTTTTTAGTGTTTATGCAATTTGAGCTTGAGTTAACATTATTTGTTTCTGGACATAGCTTAACACTAGTCTCGTCTTAATTATTTATCTTAAATCTAGGGAATTAAGAAACGGATTCCAACTCACTTTTTGCACCATCTGTAAGAAGTATAACTGTACAAAGGCCTTTGAAGATTCTTCAAAGGCCTTTGTAAGATTCTACTTCATAGTTGTTGAAGATTCTTCTGGTCCAATATCAGTTAGCACAGTTTTTGTTTTTTAATAATGGCACTTATCAAGGATTATAGTTTTTTTCGAATTGACAGGTTGAATCAGTCTAATTTATTGTTAGTCAAACTAAAGAGAAACCAATAGTTAATTGAAACTAGCAAACCGGCCCTTAACCAGCGGTTCTTGACCCTCAACCTTAACAACTTTCGACTGTTAAGAGTAAGGGTCGGGAATTCGTTCCAACACATGAACCGACTTTTCATGAACCAGGTTACATGCCTCTCTATGTCATTTTTTTTTTAATTGCCTTTGAACCAGAACAGAAGCCACTTTTTGTTTCAATTATTATGACAGCCTCGACAACAGAGTGTGGGTAAATGCAATCACTGTTTCTTCATCATGCAAATCACAAGGTCACATGTGAACATCGAAATCAATATAACAACACTAGATGAAATTTATTGTTTTAATGTCACACGCAAATTAGGCAACACGCATTGTTTCATTACCACGACATCTGTTCTCTAAACGAATAGGGTAAAAAAAAAAAAAAAACGATACGAATTTAACAAACACAGCACAAAACGCAAACCAAACACGACAGAACAACAAACCAATCGAGTAAAAAGGACTTCAAAAATCAGTCGCGCTGAATGAATCAGCACGAATCGACGAAGAATTGACCGAGGTAAATGGAATTGAAAATAGATTCAAACAAATCTAGGGTCAGAGGAGACGGAATTGAAGGACTTACCGTCCAAGCAGACTCCACCATTGAAGCCATGGAGAGTGACGTCAATGCTCTGTTGATCGGAGGAGAGAGAGAAGAGAGAGAAAGTATGTATTGTATGTGTGTGTGATGAGTTTGTGATTTGGAGAAGAGGAGAGCACTAACTAAACGACGGGTCCGACAGAAAGACAGACTGTCAAGTGGGGGAATCTCACCTCGTGGCCTGCCCTCCTGCACATTTTCCACTATTTATATATTTTTTATTTTTACATTTTTTATTTATTATTTATTTATTTATAATAAGATATATATTTAATAAAATCCTAACGCTCTATAATATAGGGGTTGCAAATTTAATTAAAAATATTTAATTCGAAAATTGATTGTTATTACTTCGTTTGAGCCTTTTGTATTCGGCTCAACTGGTACCGGTGTTTTGAAACTCGGACCGCGGATGTCGGTTGAACCGGTTAAACTGTCCGGTTTGGGCTGTTGAATCGTAAAATCGGAATCTGACTGAAAATCGGGTGTTTGGCCCAAAATAGTGCGTTTGTATTTAAAAAAATAAACTAACAAAATGGCTAAAACTACGTCTTTTTACTGTCCAATTAAACAGAAAAAATCAATCAAAATAAAAAAAAACTTATGTGTTGTGTCCATATGTTTGAATGAGAGTAGTGAGTTAATGCGCGTAAATGAAAGTTATTATATTTACTATAAAAATAAAAATAAAATGAAAATTCTGATTGAACTTCGGTTGAACTGATTCAACCGTGACCCAAATAACTTGTCATGGTCAATGTCCGGTCCGGGTTTTAAAACATTGACTGGAACTTATAAGACTATTTGAACTTGATTTATTTACAATGATATAATGTTCAAATATAATTTTTGCAGACTCAATAGAGATTTAATTAGATTCAAACACTTGGTGTTTGGTATTCTACAATTTCAACTATTGTTTGGCACTAATATTAATTGAGTTTGGCAACTTTAATTATTATAGAATAGTACTAGAGTTGGTGCAATATCTAAGAAAACGTGTTCATCTTCTATTGATTGATACTTTCCTGTGATATTATTATTGTGTGCAAAATTTTATTATTCTTAAGTGCAGGATATCTTTTAGTAACGTAACAAATTTGCATTTTTAATTAATAATCTATGTCCCTATTTAGAAAAGGAAAAGGCAAAGAACAAATGTAATAGAAAAATCCATGGTCTCGAGTATGGAGGATGGATACGAACGGAAATTTCCGAACTTTTTTCGAACATTTTTTTTTTTTTTTTTTTTTGAGAATAACTTTTTTCGAACATTTAATGGAAATATAAAAGTAACATGATTTTCGAAAATCGGGGAAATATATATGATGTATTCAACTCCGATAACCGGTATACAGTTTCTGAAAAATGTTGTTCAATCTCTCGACGGAAGAAAGTTTTCGTTAAATCAATTCAATATGCATATATGTACACCAACCAAAATCTGCAGTAAATTAGCAAAAATACCGAGTGAACTTTGTCGTAAATTCCGTTGTATAGCAAATTTGAAATTAAAGGGTTTGATATATATTCTTACAAAAGTCACCAATAATCTCTGCACGAGCATTCCCCGTCTTTGAAATGGTGGAATCGATTAATATCCCGAACCAAAATCTCTCTATTCGCAAACTTCGAAACGAACTTAGTGAACGTGTGACAGTCTTCGCATAGCCTCAGATTCTTGGAAATCCTGATTGTTTCTCCTCTACTGGAATTTATTAACCCGAACGCAACCGCCAGTTTTTCACTATGACCCAACACTATTCGTTTCTTTTCTTCAGCGTCAACGTCATAAAGAACAACTTTCGTCTCGGGCACATAACCCTTTTCCATCATCTCCTTCGACAAACTCACCACAAAAGCATGAATTTGCTCAATCTGTGGATTCAACTCATCGACCGACTTAAGAGCGTAAATCTTCCGTTTCACTTCAATCCAGCTACACCCGGAAACCTTTTGCAGGCCCTTAGCTTCTAGAAGCTTCTTCACTCTTTTCACCTGGTCCCACATTTGCGCCTCCGCGTAAATATCAGCAAGAAGTACGTAATTCCCTGCATTTGTCGGTTCAAGCTCAAAAAGCATTCTGCTTGCTCTCTCCGCAAGTTCGACGTTGCAGTGGATTCTGCATGCTCCAAGAAGAGACCCCCAAACTTTAGGTCCTGGTTCGTCTCGCAAATCTGCTATGATTTTAGCCGCTTCGTCCAATCGATTAGCTCTGCCAAGAAGATCCACCATACAAGCATAATGCTCCACGGTGGGTTGGATTCCGTATCTTTTTAACAAAGAATCGAATAACATTTTCCCCTCATCAACTAGTCCAGAATGACTACAAGCTCCCAAAACACTAACGAATGATATCGGACTAGGCGAAAGTCCTAGCTGCACCATCTCTCGAAAAACCGAAAGAGCTTCGCTTCCTAATCCGTGAATTGCATAACTCGAAATCAACGAATTCCAAGAAATAACATCCCTCTTCTCCATTTGGTTGAAAACATTCTTCCCTAATTCAAGATCACCACATCTAGCATACATAGTTACAAGGGCACTCATAACTGGCAATATCGAGTCGAGGCCTTTTCTAAGTATATACCCGTGTATCAACTTCCCCTGTTCCAATGCAGACACCGCAGCGCAAGCTTGTAGCACAGCAACCATGGTGACTGAGTTCGGCAACAGATCCCCACCACTCTCGAGCATCATCTCCCGGAAAAGCTCCAATGCTTCAAAGGGCCTTCCGTTCTTTGCAAAGCATGCAATCATCGCACTCCAAGAAACCAGATTCTTGGCCGGCATGGAAGAGAAGACACAGTTTGCATTCTCTACGCTTCCGAATTTCGCATACATATCAACCAAAGTGGTCATAATATGCACATGGCTCTCGTAACCGTGTCGTAGAACATGCGCGTGAATCTCCTTTCCCCTCCAGTCCGAAGAGAACTTCGACTCCGAAACTACACACGCCTTGAGCGCATACGTGTAACTGAACCTATCAGAAGGCATCCCTGTCTGGTTCATTCTCCTGTACAAACTCAGGGCCTCCTCACCGTAGCCCGATAAGGATAATGCGCGCAGAATAGCATTCCAAACGTAGATGGTTCTGTGCGTAATTTCGTCGAACACCTGACGGGCGTACTCGATGGAGTCCAATTCCGTGTACATGTTGATGAGCTTAGTGGCCAAGAAGGGGTCCTGATCAAACCCATTGTCAACAAGGTTTCTGTGGACGGAAAATGCATCGGAGAGACTCTTTTGGTGGGCGCAAGATTGTATGAGAAGCTCGTATGTTTGCTGGGTGGGGTTCTGCTCTTGGGATAGCAAGTGGATTGCTTGTTTCAATTGGCCCTTTTTGCAGAGAGATTGGATTGAGTGGTTAATTTTGGCGACGGAATAGGGGGATTTGAGCGTGGTGGAAGAGGCGGCGGAATCGGCGGCGCAACGGGGACGGTGGTGGTGGTGGAAGGGTGTTGTTGCAAGGTTTGTTGGCTGGAGAGTTTGGATTTGCAACATTCGGATTCTTTTTCCTATTTTCTCCTCTGTTTAAGGAATTTGTTTTTTGTAGCTTATAATCAATGTGAGAAGAGCGACAAGATTTATTTATTTATTTAGTTTTTTTTTCCTTTTTTTTTTTTTTTTCTCAGTAGTACAAATGGATGCTTAATTGGGCTTAATTCTCAAAGCCCAATGCAAAAAAGAAAAGGTAAAAATTACGATCACTCCTGAGGTAAGGTGAAATTACGAAAAAATCCCTCATATTTGGATAATTACAACCACCTTCTCAACTATGAATCTTCTTATATACGTTCATCCTTATGGTGTCAAATTCAACATAATCTTGTATATTATGTGGAATATTCTTTGGTTCGTACTCGTTTTGTGCAAAAATGCAGTTTTTGACGCACTACAATCTGATATTTACAAGTCAAGAGACACATATTGTTTCAAAATGTGGAGCTCGAATGGGGTAAAACGGGTACATATTCCACCTAATCTAGAAGATTCTACTAAATTTAACACCGTAAGTGTGGACGTGTACGGAGATTCATAATATAGTGGGTGGTTGTAATTACCCAAATATGAGGAGTTTTTTTAGAATCTAACCAACACTATGTGTATTTCTGTCATTCAACGTGTTTCCTGTAAAATCAACACATGTTTATTAGTTTTCTTAATACGTGCGCAAGAAAGAGTAAATTTCTAATACGAACTTCTTGGAAGGACAACACTAAGACCAACAAATACACCAAAGAGAAAGATTAACAGTCCGACGAAGTTGATGATAAGTGCTTCTTGACTTCGACGCAGCCCCAAGAAAAAGAATTTCTCGACCAAACCAGTCTCGGCGCTTAAAATAGCCATGACGAAGATAACCGTACCGAGCACCGTGTGCCACGGTGCAAGCCTCGCCCTCGTCGATGCTTGTGCGCGTGGGTACCAAAACGTAAACAAAGAGAACACCCACTAAATACATATAAAAATACCAATTAAAAAAAATTAATTAAATATATTCAAACAATAAATAATATAGTGTACTAGTATATTATTTGATTAATATAATAAATAAAACTATTAATTTATAATTACCTGGATAGCAAAGAGGCAGATGGTTGACATACCCAACCAAGAGTGAAGGGAATACATATCTGGAATTCCTTTCAGATAATGAAACCTGAAAACTGCATAAATACCGATAATGCCACTAACAAGTGCAGTCAAGTGTAGAAGCAGGTGGAATAGTTTCTGAGTCTCTCTAATTGCTGGAATTGTTTTGTAGGCAATGATACCTGATGCATTTACACACATATTAAATAATTAATATATAATTCCAGACTATTATTTTTTTTTTATAAATATTTAATGGGATTTAATTAAATTTGGAAATTCAAGAAACACTAGATGAACAAATTATTAGTATTACCTTCTCCTGAGATCAAGACAAATCCAAGAACCATTAGTAAGGGGTGCAACTGCAATATGCATTAATCAAATAACAAACAAAAATATTGTCCTTGTAATAAAAGAAAAATAAATAAAAATTTACATTGAAAATCTTGGCCTTGTTGTCTGATTTAAAAGCAAGACCCTCTCGGAAGTGAAGCAGCCAAACCAGCACCAAAGTGACGATTGCTGCCGCCGACACATGAGCGAGCACAGTCGCCGGAAACGCCGACGCTTGGTAGCTCGAGCTGCCTTTTGTAGCCATGGTTAATTAATGCTTCTAGTTTATGAGAATATATATATATACAAGTTTGAGATTTATTTGTTTTCTTGTTTCCATCAAAATATTATTTCCCGAAGTGTTTGTTAATTAAAAAAAAGTGGCTTCTTTAATTTGCCGTCTATATAAATTTAGGAAAAACCGTCTCACCTGCCGCCCTCTACTCGATTCTCACACGCATGCTTCTCTTCTTGTTTTGGAAGGAGAAAAAAGAAGGGCATGGATGAATGTATTTTGTTCTTCCATGCAAAATTAGACATTTTGAAATAGAAATTAGTACACTAATATTGCAATATATTGTTGATGGATCACAAATTCAAGCTTTTTAAAACTACCCTCAACCACATAAATTAGCTATTTAAGCCTTGTTTGGTTGCCGATATAAAATATCTAATGAAAATTCAATTATTTACGCATAGAAGGTAAGAAATTTAGTTAATAATGACTAATCTCCCCAACCAAACGAGACCTTATCCTGTCCAAAACTATATAAACAATTTTAACAATATAATAGTGCTTGATAAAATTTTCTAAACTATTTACCAAACGCTTTCAAGGAGCTTATATAAACTATCTAGTCTCAAGAAAGGCAGATATAATCATGCAAAATACAAGATAAAATTCATAATTAAAAAATAAATTTATAACTCATGGAATATAGAAGATAAATATTAATGCCACACAGAATACATATGGTGCAGAAGACAGATGAAACTAAGAAAAATGGGATACCTAAAAAACCTCGTTCGACATCTAAGAATGCACGATAGCACGTAATTCAACATAATAAAAATAGAGTATATAGGTTGAAGTTACAATAGAAGATTCATCAGAACAATGTTCAAGAGGGAGGCAACCCTGGAAAAATCTGTCGCAAGAAATCTACGGTTGTACTGCAATTTTACAAAACCAGTCGAATTATAAATTGCATCGAGAAAAATATTAAAAAAAACGAAAAATAAAAATAAAAATAGACCACTTGATTCCAGTTGCCTCCAAATCAGTCTTTGGGATAATCCACCTCAGGAAACGAATACTTGAACAAGATTCTAACTCATTCGAATTGCCTTAGTACCAATGCTCATGTATCCAAATTCTGCCCAGTTAAAGAGGCCAGTAGTATATCTGGGCACCAAACGACAGGACATCTGTGAACAAATAATCGAGAATATTGTGTGAATTTATTAACATCTATATTGTATTCAAAGACATAAATCAAATCCAAATGGAAATCGACAGGAATCAGAAAATTGTATTAAATAATGCAATGTAAGAACCTCCATATTAGACTGAACACTAGAAACGTGTAAGGACGAAGGAAAGTATAGACAAGGTACAGAGGAGCATAGCTATGAATCAAATTTTAGCGTAAGAATAGTGAACAAGATTTGATTTTTTTTTTTACTGAACGAACACAGTGACTGATATGCAAGAGAGTTTGCGTGGATATTCAGATAACTTTCTGTAAATACTTCCCCCCAAAATACTAGGATTCCAATCTGAAATGCAACAAATGAATCGAACAATTTTCACGCAGAAGATCGAACCATTCACAAGCAGAAAAATTGCACACAATATATATCAAGCAATACATTGACGAGAACTAGAAACTGCTTCAAGAATTGCCTGATGTCAAAATCTCTCTTATTTAGAGAAAGTCGGATTCTGCTCGAGCAGCTATCTCTCTAAAAGGAAATTGCACCCAAAATTGAAAGAAATAAAACTGACCTTCATATTCCTAGAGAAAAGAGAAGGAAGTAATTAGAACTTGTTTCACAAGAACCGCTTTTTATCTGTTGGTTTCAGAATCTGAAATGAGCACATCAAACTCTCGTCAACACTCATCATAGCACCGGCGTTATCAAATTCACCGCAATAGTTGGGTGCAGAGAATATGGTAACTAGCTGCCTATCAGCAAAAAATTCATATCCATCTTCAACAACCTGATCAAGAAAAGATAATCAATAGGCAGCAGAATTACAAAATAAGATTCTTTTTTTTTTTAAAGAAAAAAAGACGGTGAGAGAAAACCAATACCTGATGAGCACGACAAACAAGGTCCATATCATGTTGCATGAGAAATTCAGCGACCTTATCTGGACCAAATGTGTACGAGACACCCCTATCATTCATCCCCCAACCTTTAAGTTCTCTACTAGGATCAGACCAAAGTAAATCACAAAGCAGACCAGAGTCGGGAATATCAGTTGGACGAGGTAAATTTCTTATTTGATCCAAGTTCGTCAGATCAGGAGACAGACCACCATGCATGCAGAGTATCTTATCATCTATAAGAGCTGCCACAGGAAGGCAGTTGAAACAATCAGTGAAAACTTTCCATAGTCTCACGTTGAATCGGCGTTTACACTCATCATAGAATCCATATATCCTATTAATAGAAGCACATTCGTGATTTCCTCTTAAGAGAAAGAAATTCTCTGGGTATTTGATTTTGTAGGCAAGAAGAAGACATATTGTTTCTAAACTCTGTTTGCCACGGTCCACGTAGTCCCCTAAGAACAAATAATTGGCCTCTGGAGGAAATCCCCCGTACTCAAAAAGCCTTAAAAGATCCCCATATTGCCCATGGATGTCACCTGGAATCAAGATGAAAACAAATTACTCACAATTTTCTCAGATTAAATTAAAAAAAAAAATAGAGGAACACCTACAAAAGTAAGAAACGAGTTTCCAGGTCATAGTGAAAGCAAAGGAGCAGTAGCGTTGGACAGATAAGAAAGAAATTCATTTCTTAAATATACTGAATACCATGCTTAATACATTTCTAGATAGTCCAATAGATGGAAGCAAGAAATGTCGGCATAAAAATCACATGATCTAACCATACTGATTCCCATCCATAAACTGGCGCGAGACCCTTAGATTATAGGATGTTATACCAGAATTATTTAGAAACTAGAACCAGCAAAAAAAAAATCGCTTCACATAAGAGAATAACATATTAATACAAGATGAAATTTCTACAAAATTGAAGATCCCCACATATACCCTTATAAAGCGAGATAATGAAATACGCATGGAAGGCAGCAAAACATAGTTAAATTTTGGCACAGAGGAGGTAGTTAGTTCACCAACCAACATATCTATCTCTAATCACTACTCTGGAACACCATCACTTCTTTATGTTTGATTATAATCACCATATTTCCAGCAGTGCCCACATAATTATAAACAGCTGCTTATGGCAATCTACTACATTGAGAAAACTCACCATTTCAATTCAGAAAACTGTATTCTCCATTCATCCAGTATGTATATTAGACCATGACTTGATTTTGCATTTTTAACTAATGGCATCGCATCTCACAATGATCTTTAGAAACATAAATCACAACTCCCTAAAATTTTTATGTTTATATGAGGCGTGTTTTCAAACTATTGTAGCTAATAAATACAACCTACTTCAAGTTAATGCATCAAGGGCTTTAAATAATTTCTTCACCAAAATTCATATCAAATTGCAAAAACCCAATCTGGAAACCTAATAAAACCCACACTTGCTAGCCCATGAAAGGGATAAGTTATATTTCAAACCCAACTTTCTAAAAGATTCTAAGAGTAAAGGGTAAAGATTGTATAATCCGTTTTCAAATAAATCTATACTCGATAGCCAGATTTTCACTCTGTTGGACAGTTAGAGGACTTAATTATACATCTTAATCCTTCTATTGATGGTTATATCAATATATAAACGGCCCTAATACAAAGTAAAGAAGATTTCATGACCTACTCATTTAAGAAGCGCCAAAATAAGAAATCTAGAATTTTGACTTCAAAAATTTATTTTGCATTCCCTTTTAACCAAGCTGAAGATATTTTCCACCGAAGAAAATACAAATCAATCAGCTGCTCATAAGCCGTAACTAATTCAAACGTCAGCACGACCCTAATATATCATGGGTAACTGTTCGTTTAAGGACAGCATGACAGAAAAGACAAGAAGTCTACCACATAATACGTTTTCCTTTACTATTTTCATTTTCCCAAGGCGTAGTTAGAATAAACTATCAAAGGCCGCAGATCAAGGATAATTAAAAATTATGTGTACTTCATTGGTCTTGAGCATATCTCGGAAATGTATTCAATGGAGTGAAAAGAAAAAGGATATCGAAAATTCCCAATGAAAAACCACCATTTTGCAAACTGAAGCCAATACCAAAAGCTCGTTTTGTAGCTTTAGTGAGAAGACAAACTTATTGTCTGACCTCATAACAGCATCATACACGTCGGTACTTGCGCTAGATGTTGTTATCCGGGGTCAAGCTATTTTGTATCTATAAAACATTGTTGGTAAGAAGAACAATGCTCAAGTGTTCCAGGTCACATTTTTAACCTAGAATCGAACTTCCCCCATGATTAGAGACAACAATTTCAATATATTATGTGCATGTGCATCAAATATTGGTGATAGATAAGGGTTCAGAAAAACAAATTTCTTCAGGGCAATCCCCAGGTATATGCAGTTCTTATTATTATTTGCACCAAAACTCCAAAGTAAAAGCAACTTTTTCATATCAAGGCCAATCATAAAAAGTCATTAGGAAGAAAAAAAAAATCACAAGCTAGGCATACATGCAAAAAAGGGAAACCATTAATTCATCTGTGAGAGAGAGAGAGAGAGAGAGAGAGAGAGAGAGAGAGAGAGAGAGAGAGAGAGAATACCGCAGATCTTAATAGGGGCTTCGAGCTCGAGGAGATTAGGCTGGGAAAGGAAGATTTCACGCGACGTCGTACAGAGAGCACGGATCTCATTCTCGGAGAGCTGCACCTGACGCACAGTCCTCGCGCTTCGAAACTCCAACAGCCGATTGATGATGTCATCCAATACGGCAGGCTCTATCCCCTGCCCATTCGCGGCCATCTCTACCCCCCTCTTTTTTCTAGCTTTCCACCGAAAGTTCTCGAACCCAAAAAAAAAAGAAAAATCCAACCCTAGATTTCCAAAAAAAAAAACTAAAAAAATCCAAACTTTTTGAGGGTTTCAATCGATTTTCATCGCAAACAAGGTAAAAAAACAACAAATTGATAGACGAACACAGCAAAAAAAAAAAAAATCAAATAGGTGACGGATTAAAACGAGATTAGGAGTGTCTGAGGCGGTGGCCGGCTGAAACTCCGATGCGGCGGAGAGGACTATACGTCATGCAAAGAGAGGGTAGTACATAGATTTATTTTAGATTAGATGGGAAAACCAACCCAATAATAATAAAACTGGAAGTGGAAAATAAAAAAAAAATTATTGCGTGAGTCGATAAATCCGCTGGCCTCGTGTGGCTCTCTCTCTCTCTCTCTACGCTACTGTGAATTGATTGTAGATTTTTGGACTGGACCCTTCCTACCTTTTTTTTTCTGTTTCTCTCTCTATCCTTTCCTTCGTGTTGTGCAGCGGCCCAAGGGAAGAGAGATAGAGAGAGAGAGAGAGCTAATTGTTTGGTTTCAATTCAAAATCTAGGGTTTCAACGAAAATTCAACTCCATTAATAAATAATAAAACGATGTTATAAAAAAGAATTAATTAATAAAATAATAAATAAATATGACGACTATTTGGCTTTAAACTCTATAATGCACTATTGCACATACTCCATATATTTATATGATTTATATGATGTGATCGGAAAATATCAAATGCCACTCCCACTCACGATTTCATTTTTTTTTTTTTATATGTGTGGAAATGCAATAACAGAAAATAAAAAGCTAAAACAAAATATCTTTCATTATTTGTTTTCATTTATATATGTGCAGAAATGTAGTAATAGAAAAATAAAATGCTAAAACTAATTACTAAGGGTAAATTACACTCACACCCTTGAGGTATGCTTAAATAATTTTAAGATCCCTATAGTATCAGTAATTACACTCACCCCCCTGAAACGTAGTTAGAAACTCTAACGGGATAATGCATTGGATACATTATTCCGATAGGGTTCTAATGGACTATTACTTTTAGCTAGTGGTGGAGATAACATAGAGTCATGGGGAGTTATGGGGTGACATGGCTCCCTCAATATTTCTTAAATCACCCATAACTCTTTGTTGTCTCCACCAGTTTCTGAAACCAATAGTTCGTTAGAACTCTATTGTAATAACGTATCTACTGCATTATCCCATTAGAGTTTATAACTACGTTTCATGGGGGTGAGTGTAATTATCGATACCACAGGGACCTTAAAGTTATTTAAGCATACCTCAGGGATGTGGGTGAAATTTACCCAATTACTAATTATTGTTGGAACTGGTTCAGAAGGGAGGTGAAGTAGGCGCCGAAATTTTAGGATCCCCGAATATTTTTTTACACAGTTTATATTTTTTTTAATAAAACTTGTCTTAATATATTAAATTAGTTTTTTTTTTAGAAAATATATTAAATTAGTTATTTATTAAAATAATGAGTCAAGTTTCTTTTTAGGAACATTTATGAAGTCTATTTGCTATAAAAATTAAAGGTCATGTAGGAAGTGAACCACTAAATTATTCTGTTAATTTCCATAATTTTATATATTATGTGTTATTTTGTGTTCAAACATCTAAAAAATATTTTTATGGGGCACCGCCCCTGAATTCCGATTTTGGAATGGCTCGGAATCGACCGAATTTCGAAAATTTTGGAAATTGCATTAATTTATTGTTTCTTGTTAAAAATTCGGGTATAATTGAAATTTTCATTAAAAGAATCAAATTTTCTTCAAAATTTTCTAGCAAAATACAATAAAATTCTAAAGAGAGTTCAACAAAATCCAAATCACATATGGGAACAACAAATTGTAAAATAAAGTTTCTTAAAAAATAAAAGTGCAACAGAGAGTTTATGATCCTTAGATATTTATAATTTCTATATAAACAATATCATAAATTATATTATTGAATTACAAAATATTACAATATTGTATATTTAGAAAAATGATCGAAAAGTTTATGATCGAAAATCAGAACTTCTAATAATTGTATATATAATTCTACATCCGTTAAAAAAAAAACTCGGAGTGAAAGAAAACGGTTCCAAATTCGAAAAATTCCAGATCGAAATCGACAAAATTTAAAAATCTCATTCCAATTTACACCCCCTACTTCTTACAAAAATCACCAATCCGGTCCCAAACCGACTTTCTTAATGAGAGTTGAATATTCATAGAAAATTACTAGGTAGAGAAATGGAAAATTAAAAAAATCATTTATTTTACGGCAAAATTCAAAAGCCACTACCTACCTATATTAATTTAGTTAGTTGCCTCTAATTCATTTGACTTTTTTAAGTTTTAATAATTCGGGATATCCGTGCACTCGCTATTTATTTCCAATTTCCAATTATATTGAGAGCATCAGATTCCATAAATCTAAACCGATTCACGTAATTAAATTTGAGAGCATCAAATTGCATAAATCAAATGATTTTTCCGCAACTATTTCAATGGGTATTGCCGTTTTGGATTCGGATCGCCCGCCATTCATATAATTCCAAACCAGAGAGAAAAGCTGGAATGGAATCTATTATTCTCTGAACCGTTTCGTTTGATGTAAAACCTCTGTTTTTTTTTTTTGTTTTTTTTTTGTTTTTTTTAGGTTTTCGCACGATCCGCAGCAGTTGTGTATTTGTTTATTGATTAACGTTTGTATTTGTTTTTTGAAGGTTTTCAAGTATGGCTGCAATTGAAGAATTGTGATAATTCAAGTTCTGGTTGCATCTCAATTCTCAGCAGTTCATTCCTCAATTGAGGGTTTGGAATTGAGGTAAGTAAGGAATTGTTACAGCTGATTGATATAGAACTCTTGTTAGAAACTTGTAATCTGTGATTTCCCTTTTTTTTTTTTGCCCTGAAATAATAGAATTATTGCAGCTAATTGTTTTAGAAATATCCGGAAAATATGCAATCTGTGTTTCTGATTAGTTACGAAGATCTCCGTTTTAACTCCACTTGTTTAGCAGATGGTTGAATGATGTAAATATAATCTGGATGATTGTTCTTGATTTTCGTTTGGGTGAGAAAATCTGATTACTCGGGCTGAAAAAGTACGGATGTCGATTCCGAGTTTATGCTGTGAAACTGATGTTTAGGCGCTGTTTGGTTCGTGAGTTTTGAAATGATGGAAATGAAAATTCGAAAGTAAATAAAAACAAAGAATTTAAATTTTTCTAGCATGTTTGGTTCCTACGGGAAATGGTGATGAAGTCGATTTTGTGGAAAATCATTTACTTTAAACAGGCAGACGTGTTTGTTAAGGTTCTGCAATGGAGGTCAACTACTCCCCTAATTTGGTGTTTTCTAGAACGGAGAGGAATTAAAATCGAAGAAGATAGAAAACCTGCCGGCGTTTCACATTTACTTTTTTTTCTCGAGGAAAATGTGTATTTTTCTTGTTTTAGTCGCAGAATATTTTACCTCTTAACCAAACAGAGCCTTTGGTGTTATAAGACAACTTATCGGAACAATTCTTGCAGATGGAACAGGAAAACGTCGAACTGCAGCAAGTAAAGATAGAGTCACCAAGAACCCTCGAAGAAGAAACGAATGACATCATCATTCCTGAAAAAAAATCCCAGTTCTCTTGCAGCGCCACCTGTCCATTCTCGAATCAAGAACACCACAAGTCAGACGCAGCGCAGCGCTCCAAAACATCTCTCAAACTAAGCGGGCTCATAATCTTCTACACTGTACTAATGGCGATCGAGATTATCGGTGGTCTTAAATCCAACAGCTTAGCAATCCTCACAGACGCAGCTCACTTGCTCTCCGACATTGCCGGATTCTCAATCTCTCTCTTCACCGTATGGGTTTCCGGGTGGGACCCGACTCCTCAACAATCTTTCGGTTTCAACCGCCTCGAAGTAATCGGAGCCCTCTTATCTGTACAGCTAATATGGCTTATATCCGCCACTTTAATCTACGAAGCAGTACAGAGGATTATTTCCCAACAAACCGAAATAAACGGTAAACTCATGTTTGCAGTCTCCGCGTTCGGTTTCTTGGTTAATCTTATCCTCGTTTTATGGCTCGGCCATGACCATGACCATAACCATAACCATAACCATGACCATAACCATAACCATAACCATAACCATAACCATAACCATAACCATAACCATAACCATAACCATAACCATAATCACCATGGCCATGCTCACCATGCATGTGAGCATGACCATGAAGTGGAAGAAACCACGAAGCTTGTGCCAGCTCAGCATGCAAACATAGTGCCAGCTCAGCATGCAAACATAATGCCAGCTCAGCATGCAAACATAAACATTCAAGGGGCTTACTTGCATCTTATTACAGATCTTATACAATCGGTCGGTGTAATGATTGCTGGATTGGTTATTTGGCTGAGGCCGAACTGGTTGGTGGTTGATTTGGTCTGCACGCTGGTTTTTTCCGTGTTTGCTTTGTGTGCTACTTTGCCGATGCTGAAGAGTGTGTTTTACGTGTTGATGGAGCGGGCCCCACACGAGATTGATGTTGCCCGTCTCGAAAATGGTCTGAGACTGATACCGGGAGTTGGTGGTGTTCACGATCTTCATGTTTGGGCTATTACACTAGGGAAACATGTGCTGGCTTGTCATATTGTGATTGGTCCTGGAGTTTGTTCGAGTGAAATCTTGCATGAGATTAGGGATTACTGCGAGCGAGGTTTCGGTATTCATCATGTAACGGTACAGATTGAACAAGAATTGTGATATTTGTTCTTCTCATTGAAATTGAAACCAGATGGTGTGTTTGAAGGTAGCAATTTTTTTCATCACATGGAAAACAAATATGATTTTACTGGTTATAAAATAATATAATCTCATACTAGATCATATTTTGTAAGGGTAAAATAGCCTTAAATATGAACATGGTATATATGTATAATATATACTATTTTCTGTGTATATAGTAAAGAGTGTATATTAGCCGTTTAGAAAAATGAATGAAAAAACGAAAAATGAGAATGACAGTCGAAAAACATTACAAGCTTCTTTATTAAAAGAAAGGGTAAAACCACAAGACATAATCCGAAATAAAGATAGAACCAAGTAACCTTTAAACATCACCAATATCAGTGTCATTTACAGAAAAATAAACCCGACAAAATTAGGAGTAAAACTCATTCTAGCAGAGAACGTGGACCCTAAAAACTAAAACCGTTTATCGAACTTCTCCAGCGCTTTTTTAGTCACCACACGAAAGTAAAGAAAGTATTCTACAAAAAAAAAAGGAAATATATAAAACGAGTGAAAAACAGAACGAGAAGTTGGTTTTTTTGTTTGCAGCACCAATCGACACAATCCCTTTTAAGTTTTTTTTTTTTTCTTTTTCAAGTAGAACAGCAGCCTCTCTTGTCATTTCCCGATGGATCGTTAACATTAATTGTTGTACCCTGACCAGGAAGTGCCGCTGCGGAAGCAGCTTCTTGTGCGGCCAATGCCTTCTTGCTAACAATGTGGTATATTTCCGTCAAAATTGTCTGAAATGCCCTTTCGACATTCAGCGCCTCGAGTGCTGATGTCTCGAGGAAAGAGAGCCCTTCTTTCTCTGCCAGATTTTGACCGTCTTGGTCCGCAACTGCTCTGAGATGGTTGAGATCGGATTTGTTTCCAGTCATCATAATAACAATGTTGGAATCCGCGTGCTCTCTCAGCTCACGGAGCCATCTATTGACATTGTCGAATGTCTGCTTTTTGGTTATGTCGTAAACAAGGAGAGCACCGACAGCACCTCTGTAATAGGCGCTCGTGATTGCTCTGTACCTTTCTTGCCCAGCAGTGTCCCAAATCTGGGCTTTCACCGTTTTTCCTTCTATCTGTGGTACAACAGTTCACAGATGCATTAGCTTTCTCAGGTGATATTTTGTAAGTTTTTAGACTTATAACAGAACATTGAACACCGATGCAATTGTAACACTATAATTGCAATTTATGGAGATTGAGAAACAAGAATTTAAAGTCGGAATCGTGTTTAAGCATCTTTAATACCGTCAAAACTCTAGGTTGGATAACTGAATCCTTGAAAAATGCACATTTTATCCGGAAGCTAGCTATCAGCCATAAAAAAATGAATATATCGAAATATGACAAGCAACCTAGAAGAAAATTACAACTTCAACCAAGCATTTGCTACTGCATAGTGGTTATTTTGTAAGCAACATTTCGATAACGTGGATAAAATTAGCGAAAAGCTCAACTCATTGCTCCAGATTCAAGCCACATAAACGACAAACACAATCTTCATCAACTTAAATAAATCATAAAATTGGCTAGTCCATAGAAGAGGTAGTACACCGCAGCTTCCTTACTCGATCCTTTCGTCACATGCAACAATAATTTTCTATAATAAACACATAATATCAAGCCTATAATAAAATCGCTAATCTATAAGAGAGCAAGCAATCGACAAATTAGACAGGAAAATAAACACAAACACACAATCTATGATTCACCTGAAGCGTTTTGGTGGCAAACTCGACTCCGATCGTCGATTTGGACTCCAAACAGAACTCGTTTCTGGTGAAACGGGAGAGAATGTTGGATTTTCCAACTCCTGAGTCACCGATCAACACGATCTTGAACAGGTAATCGTACTCGTGATCCACTCTACCCGCCATGACCTTCTATTCCGCTTCGTTTACTTCGTTTTTTCTTTTCTCCCCTTTTCTACTCCCTCACATAACTACACACACATCAAAAAAACCACAAATAAAAAATTAAAAATTAAAGGCAGAAATAAACCTAGGTCGATAATCATCAGATCTAGCCATTCCGATCGCAAATACATCCCCAAACGACATATAAAAATCATGAATAAATCAAATTAAAACCGGAAAAAAAAAATTATTTAATCCATGGCTTACCGTAAAGGAGAGATCTCGAGCGGGAAATCGAGTGCGCACAAATTAATTAATTCAAAAAAAAAAAAAAAATACGGCCAATCAAAATGAGCGACGATGGAGAAACACGGAAGAAACGAATGGAAAAAATGTTATGGTTTTGAGAGAGAAGAATATGTATTTGTTTGAAACGGCCAAACGTGTAAATGCGTGTGGAAATGGTCGACTAATTAACCGGTGTCGTTTTATCCCAATATTTTATATGCGCGCTTTTCAAAAGGAAGGAAGAGAGAGAGAGAGAGAGAGAGAGAGAGAGAGAGAGAGAGAGAGAGAGAGAGAGAGAAACAATTCCTGTGAGCAATGCGGAGATTCTCGGTTTAAATAATGGGGCGTTGACGGGAAACAGAGAGACAGTGGTGCAAAAATTGGCAGCACAGTGCCAGCCAGCCAGGGTGGCGGTGTAGAGAGAGAGAGAGAGAGAGATATTGGAATGTTAGTGACCTCCCATTTATATGCCTTACACCTTTTTATTTTGTTTTAATTATGTAATATTATATGATAATATTAAAAAATAAAATATAAATTAAAAAGACTAAGCAAAGAACATTTGATTCCAATTATTAGAGTTAGGTACTCTTCATTCTCTTCAAGATGATTGGTGGGGAAAAGTCTAATGAGTTGTGTATCATAATCAATGATTTAACACATATTACATTTTACATCATCTTTTATATAATGATATTTATAAGTGGACCATAATACATGATTAGGAGGTTATACCAATATGATTTCCTTTATTGTTATTTTTTTGTTATTATAGGGCTGTTTTAGCTAATTAGAATATAACCTTGATAATTTAATAAACTCGTTTAAATAATAGTTTTTCTTTGTCATGACTCGGTGAAAATGTATTAAGTTATTAGTTCGATAATATTTCGGTGAGTTAATAGATTTTTACTAGTTATGACTGTATTAGTTTATAGAGGTTTAATTGTAGGGTTAGACTCAGACGACTCGTACATTTGTCGCAGTAGAACTTCCCGACATATTCAACAGTTGACTTAATTGGAATTATATTTTTACTCATGTAATTCTCTTAAATATAGAGTAACTATTTAAAATACAAAATACCGAAAAAAATGAAGATTCAGTTAAACCTCTATAAATTAGCACAGTCGGGACTAACAAAAGTCTATTAATTTAGTGGAAAAATAAATCGTTGAAGTAATAATTTAGTACGTTTTGATCGAATCGGAACCGGAAGAAATCATTCTTTTAACGAGGCGTTACTATAATGTACGAGTAACATTGGGCTTTTTTGAAGCCGAGAGACTAAAGCAAGCCTTGCTTATTGGGCCGGGCTTGAATTTCAAAGTAGCAAAACCAAGATAAGATTATTTCATTATTTATTTATTTATATATTAAATCAGTAGACTACCTATTAAAGGCATAAAACAGGAGGCCCATGTATATAACAAGGGCAGACGGCACTAAAATCAGCATCGGAATAATAGCCGCCGCCGTGTACCACCCCCAACAACCCAAAGTGCCCAGCTTTATCTCCACCAAGTCCACCAGCGCCGCCGTTAAAAACGCACACCCGGAGATCGAACCACCGGCCGAAGCCAAAATCCCGCCTTGCAGCAACCGCAAATTAACATTCCCACCAGTACTACTTTGCGTTTCACCACCACCACTACTAGTTAATTAAAAATGTTGGAAATTTTGTTAACGTATGAATTATAAATAAAATAAAATAATTATAAGATTGATGTAATTAATAATCCCTCCTTAGCCATGAAAAAAAAAATTCCAATTTATTTGAAGTTTTTAAATTCCATAGCAAAATTATATTTTCCTTTCCAATTTTGCCCATACTATTAATTGCTCTAATTCTTGAGATTCTATGTACATATGGAATTAATGAATATTTATTTGGAGAGAGAAAAGGGCAATCTGGGATATTTCTATCCAATTAATAAGATTCTTAATTTGTGTGAAAAATCCTAAATCGTCGAATATTAAGGGAAGGAGGGAGTACTTGTTATTGCGATGGACTCGTCCCGTTTTGGCATCGGTGGTGATTGCGAGTTTAAGACACGAAGCAATGAGACTGGAGAACAAGAAGGAAGTGAACGAGTAGACGTGAAACTCGACAAAATGCTTGGCCACGGCGGAGCTGGCTGCGCATGCGGCGGAGCTGACGAGGCTGCTGTTTGGATCCGCCGGATTCAAGGCGATGCCGAGAAAGGCGGCAAACATGAACAGCGAGTTCACGTTTAGGGTTCCGTCTAAGGCCATTATGTGTACGGCGGTACTGCTTAATCTACTTCGGGCAACATTATTTTGGCTCATAATTCAATACTTTTTTTTTTTTTTTTTTTTATGTTCTTTTTTCAGTATTAATAAAAAAACACTTCCGTCCCTTTTAAGACAAGAATGAAAAAAAGGAGGCTAATGTGGAAAATACTAAAAGTAGGTGGCCTTTTATTTAATATTATCGAAAAAAAGTAAATAAATCACTTTTATTTTATTTAATTTTATTTAAGAGAGGTAAATAATTCACTCAATCTCCATATAAAAAAGATGCAATATTACAAATTTTCTTATTATTTTTTTTATAAAAATTGTAATGGCTATATTGGACATTAAAAAAAAAATCTTTTTTTCTTTTTGTTTTTAAACTCCTTTGCTATGACATTGCTTATGCTTTACCCTTTCAATTGAAAACCTTGCGTGAGGGACTTGTTTCTTGTACCCGAATATTCTAGGTAAAACCAAAATTAATCATCTAATTTCATATTATATTGTATGGCTTATCAAGTCGGATCCATCAACTCTTCAAACTCAATAAAAGTTGTCTCGTTAGGACCGGAAGAAACGATTTCGGGTTTAGTGTGGATTCAATTTTTTTAAAAACCCATGGAACCCACCAACCCCGTTATACAACACGACGTCGTTTTGTTTGTATTTTTTTAATACCGGTGAATGTCATATTTTTTCCTACAAGGCCAAATTGACTGAATATGGAACTTATAAAACAAGGACACGTGTACAAATCACATAAAAATATGAAATTGCTACACTTGTAAATTCTTTTTATTTGTGGAGATGGAAGAGCTACACTAACAACTTTCCTATCACAATTAAAACATTGAGGCTCGTAACATTGATGGGCTAATACGACGTCGTTTGGATGGCTGTAAATTTGCTCTTCAAATAACAGAACAAAACTTGAATTTGAATTTGTCCGCCTAATTGGAGCGGAATATTCCGAAAAAGTCCCTTCTCCGTCTTCCGACTGACACCTCACCGTTATCCAACCGTCAGAATATTCCCAATTTGCCCCTGAATCCGAAACTAATTCCCTCAATCTCTCACTCGCCCCCAAATTCTGAACCTCTTCTTCTTCTTCTTCTTCTTCTTCATCCTGGAAATCTGAACCGAACCAGTCCTCCAGCACGCAACGCGGCGATGAGTAATCGATTGAGTATTTCTGCGTGTTCACCGTAACGAATGGGTGGTGCAGCAGCTGATCGCAGCTCCACCTTTCCGTGTAATCCCGCCTCAAACACTTGTCCAAAAAGTCATGCCCTAAGCGCGAGAGCTCCGCCGGAAACCGAGGCAACTCGTCCGAGTAGCCGATTCTGCAAACCGAGTGAGCACCGCCGTCTCCCCACGCCGGTTTTCCCGTCACCATCTCGATCACGGTGCACCCCAGCGACCACACGTCGGACTCCGTCCCCTGACGCTCGCCGCGTATCACCTCCGGCGCCATCCACAGCGGACTGCCGCGTATCGAGATAGCGGCCGCCGCCGCCGTCGGCGACGAGATCTCCACCGCCGATCCGAAATCGGCGAGCTTGGCGGAGCCTGGGGAATGGCCTAAGAGGACGTTTTTGCCCTTGACGTCGCAATGCACAATGCCTCTGGAGTGAAGGTAGCCTAGGGCGGAGACTAAGCACCACGTGTAGCTGGCAACGGCTGCCTCATCTAAGAATCCGGTGGTGGATTTTGCTGCTGCTGCCACGTCAGCGGCGGTGCCAGCTGGCATGTACTCCATGTGCAAGTTCCTCCTAAACGACGACGTATCGTCTCCAAGGTACTTGACAATGAAAGGCGAGGAGAGAGATTTAAGAATTCTAATTTCGTCCTCTAAGGCGGCCTCCGCCGCCGGAGAGCCGCCGCCAGAGGAGGAAGCTAAGTCCACAGACTTGACGGCGAAAACGGCGCCGCTTGAGACGTCGATTCCCAGGTAGACTGTTCCATAGGCTCCTCTGCCTATGCAAGAGCCTCTTACCCAATTGTTTTCACTGATCACTTTTTCCATAGATATATCATATATACTTTTCTTTTGCTTTCTAGTATGTATTGCCAGTGTTGTATATATATCTCTATATATATATATATATATGTATACGTATATGACAAGTTGAAGCAAAGTGAGAAGTGATAATGTTTGGGCGGAGGGTAATGCTTATCCACGGATGATTTATCGGTTAATTTAATTATGAGATGATGTTGAACTACTTGTTCGTTTTGGTCTCTGTTTCTGAGTTGTATGAATATTTTAATGGGTTGGGAAATTGGCATGTGATTGTGTTTGTGTTTGTGTGTGTGGAATTCAAGTTTGATTTTAGTATATATATATATATATGTTCCAAATCAGAGTGACTGTAGTATGTATTGTGGATAATATATACTTGCTTGTTAGGGTTTTGATTTGATGATGATTGATTCAGGGTATCCGCCAAAATGGAACACTCCCAACAGAAGAATGAGAGGTGAGAGGCGGATACACGTATCCGCCACTATTAAATTCATTTCTCACTCTGCCCATCTCTCTCTAAGTCTCTCTCTAGAATTTCGATTAAACCAAGTAAGATTATATTATTGATGGTAGGGGTGGTAAACGATCTGAGCCGACTCGTGAGCTCGATGAGCCGACTCGAGAAAAGCTCGAATTCGAGTTTTTCAAGCTTGGGTTCGACAAAATGAACTCGAGCTCGAGCTTGCCAAAACAGGCGAGCTCAGCTCGTTCACACCTCTAAATTTGATGGTAACGTAATATATTGTCTAATATTTGTATCCCAATTTTTTATATCAAGAGTTGGATCGGTGAAAGATCAATATCCAATAATTGACTCCATTTTCGGATGTTTCTCGAGTGGCTCTAGGGAAGTTATATACTACTCCGGGTATTTATTAACCGTAGATGACGTAAAATAACTACCCCACCAACCACACGTACACATAAATGTGTATGTGATTATGTGTAGATATACGGTTAACAATTACCCGGTGATACGGACTAAATTGTCCTCAGGGGGTTTCCTAATCAATTATTGGGCCGTAGATTGAGTTTTCACTTGTATTTGGCCCAAAGCCATATCAAGCCCAAGAAGAGGAGTTAGGGCAAGTTTGCTTATCTCTTGCTCATCAAGGATCCTCAACTATAAATAGGGAGTTACTCTCAACTTATTACTTCTATGCTCTCTCTTACATATCACACTCAATTATCTCTCGATAAACACTGACTTGATCGTCGGAGCTTCTACGCCGGGAAACCCCTCCCGGTGTTGCAGGTACTCCTCCGGCGGAATTTCCGGCAAGCTATCATCAAAATATCGCCCAAGGAAGACAGGTCATCATCTCAGCAATTTTCGAGCAAATCACCCGGTGTTAATAATCGGGTATAGCATAGAATTCTCCCGACATCCCTCATTGAAGTCAATATTTTGAGTCAGGAATTAAATAAAATTTTTCTATTAAAAAAACATAGACTAAATTACAAAATCTATTAAAGCCTCTATCCATATGTTGGCTAGAATTTATTTGGATAGATATGGATTCGTATCTTTAACAGGATTATGACATTGTGGCACGTTCTCTGTTGCATTTGTTGTTGGAGAGAGTTGTGGCGATTTTCTGGCCTGCCTTAAATACCCAAATTCACATAAAGTTTGGATAAGGCCTTTCTTTGTCCAAGCATACAAAAGCAACCGCCGAGTGTATGCCGCACACTCTCTTTATTCCTAGCCACAACCTTCTTCCCTCTTTTAAATAACTATTTTTGAGGTGTGATGTGTCGGGTATTCGTTTGATTTATACAAGTCAATAAACATGACATAACTCATTATTATAGAAAAATAAAAAAAAAATGAAATAGATGTTGACATCATCGGTTTGATTCTAATACATGGAGCCGTTTTTGTCCAAGTCCACGTCATGTAACCCACGGCGACGATAGCTCCAATAGGTTTCTAGCATAAATCAGTGACGATAGCCCCAATAGGTGTCCAACATAAATCTTGGAAAGAAGAAACCCTAGCTCTACACGATAGATCCAGCTGAGTGACCAAGACTCAACTTCCCTTTACACGAAGTGTTTGACACTCAAACTCTCGATCTCACAAGTATTTTTACTCACCCAGTACCAATAACCCAAGGTCGGAGAAGAAAGCAGAGCAAAGAGAACGTGTAAACAATGTTATATATCTCTCTATCTCGTAGTGTTTGTATATATAGCCACAAAAGCAACGGTCGGAGACAACAAAACTGTCTCCGAATTAATGCTCCCTATGTACGGTGAGACTATAACTTACAATTTTATTTTCTCTCTAACTAAATTATATATATCGTCATCCTTATACGATAACCTAAAGTGCTTAAAAACAATTTTGTATATTGAAGTAATAATCGTACAAGAAGTCATAAACTAATATATAATAGGACCCCAATAATGAAATATAATTTTGTATTTATACATAAATAAACAACAACAAAATACAAATGAACCCCAAATTTTACAGAAAATATAATATAACAATAATTACTTTTAATATTTCTACTTCAAAACTAAATCAAAAAATTATCCAATTTTTTTTCTTAATATTAAAAAAATAAAATAAGGGTTTGCCAAGGCCCATATAAGATTGGGCCGGCAGTGGAGTGCAGATTACATTTGGGTTAATAACAGGCGATTGTTCCATCTTCATTTGAGAATCGGTAAATAGATTTGCATTTTCGTCGAACAGAAGAATCAAGAGCGAGAATGAGAAAATTCGATCCATGGCCGGTGTTTTTCAGGAGAGAGTGGAACCGCAACTGGCCGTTCCTTGTTGGATTCGCAGTTACTGGAGCCATTATCACTAAGCTCTCCCTCGGCCTCACTGGTTAGTGTTTTTCTTAATCTTCAATCCTCGGTTCCTTTTTCCCCGTTTCTCTGTGTATCTATTGTTGCCCTAATTTTTTTTTTTTTTTTTTAATTTTGGGATTTTTGTTTTTACAGAGGAGGACGCGAAGAACTCTCGATTTGTGCAGAGGCACCAAGGGAAGTAAGTTTTTTTGACGTTTCTCATCTGATTGCAAACCCTAGAAACGTTTTGATTGGATTCGTGGATCGGTGTTCTTTGTTGTTTTTGTTTATTTATGTAGACTGTGCTGATTATATTAGTGTTGAAATGTAGATTCTTATACGTATATGTATGTATATATACACATTGTGATTTTCCTTAAAAAAAAATCTTGATGTATTTGTTTATCGGATATTATTTGGGGTTTATTTGTTCACATATCGAGTGCCAAGAAATTTCTATCTAGGATTTAAATTGAGTAGTATGGCAATTACGGGAATTTCGATAATCGTTCATCTGATTTGCTGTAGTTTTCTTTCGTGCTTGCTTCTAATGGCTGTTCTGTTGACGTTGACCAAAATTTATTTAGACTTCTGCACTCTGAGCTTAGGCAGTTTAACCATTTACGTGTTTGCCCTTTAACAATAGCAAGTTTCCTTTTGGTAGAAGTTATATTGGATGGACTTCATGGCTGGGCTGGCTGCCCACTGATATGTGTTTTACTCAAACTCGATTAAACAGTGGGAAGAAGTTATTATTGTATGTTCTTACAGTTTACCGTGTGAAGTTACGATCAATGTCAATGACATCTAGTAATATTTTTCTAATACTTATATATAAGAACTTCTTATGTTGGTGAAATGATTTAATCGTTTCGTTAATTGAGACCTTACTCCGGAGCGTCAATACTTTCATCTTGTGGTCTTTATGGATTTTAAAAGCTTGAATGTGTGCTGCTCTTTTCTATCATTGTGATTTTAATGAGATTTTATGCATATTTTTGTATCTTGTTCTTCGGGATGTTATAGCAGGTATCTTGTAACGAAAACTATTTGTGTATATGGGATAGGTTTAGGCAAATTTTGCTCTTGTATTTCAATTGATTTCAGTAAACTCTGTCCTGACACTCATTTTGTTTCGCAGATAAACATGCAATAACCTAATCTTCTCGGTGAATGAAGTTGTCGCGGTGAAGACATTTTATTTATGGTTTTCTGGATAGATCAATGACTAATGTGAACCATTGATGTAATAAATTCACAATTTTCTACCTTATTTTTTTAATTAAGTGTTTGCATCTATTCGATGTAGTCGTTGGTATGGGATTCGGGTGGCAACAAGAATGCCATGAATTTACAATGATTTAGAGACACTCTGAATTCTGAAGTATTAGAATCAGTTGTCTTCATATGCAATAATATTTTTTTGTGACCCCTAAGACAGCCAAATCACGAAATAATCCCTCTTAATTGTGAAATTACGTTCACTCCCCTCAAATTGATGATTTATTACTTCGAAAAGAGAAAAAAGCACAGCATGATTCTAAATTGCCCCTGCATGAAATAAGAGAGAATTAAAAGCTACATTAAATTTGTTTGTTAAATTACGTTTACCCTTCTCAAATTAAGGATAGTTGGTTAAGGATTATTAGTCAATTCCTCCTAAAATAACAAGGGTATTTGACTATTTGCTAATAAAAATAACATGAGAAATGTTTTCGACTCTTTCCCTTCAATGTTTCTCCTTTACGAATACCGACACACCTTCCCTATAAATGCATATTTCATATTCTCTGAAATCGAAATCTTTCTACATGGTAAAATAAGTTTCACCCCGATATCAATTTAAAACGGTCCTTCCATAGTGTACAACGATTATGTTAGAATTGTCGCGAATCAAATTCAGAGGACAGAGACTAAATTCCTGTAATGTACAAGCTCGCGGCAAAGACTATATCCCTCTTTATTGCATTCGAAGCCATTTCCATTTTCTTGTGAAGTGCAGAGTTGCCCATAATTGCAGCTGCATTTCTAAATTCACGGCATGTTTCATCTAACCTCACTATTGTCCTAACGATCATGCCTTCAGGAACATCAGTAAGTTCACAAATATCTGCAAACGGGGTGCCCTGTCAATTCACAAAGCAAGTATCACTGTTAGAAAAATCTGCGTAATTACATGATTCAATTCATTGTATTAAGCCCCTGAACATGATTTGGCTCAACGAACCCGAAGCTATGTCAGATCAACATTTCCCCCTCTTCAATTATATACCGTGTATAGTTATATTCTAATACCAAAACAACCTAATTAAATATATATTAGTAAAAAATAATACATATCCTACATTAGAATATGCAGACTAATGTTTAGTCGAGGTTTAGATTCCAGAAAGTTGTCCCATTGATTTAAGCTGAACAAGTTGTAGGATACATCTTACTTGTATTAACCCTTATATTTTTCGCACCCCTTCAATTTTCTTGCACTCGGATTCTCTGACTAATTCGTAATTCATTCACACTTTAAAGATGTTTATATACTTGTCAATCAGAGTATCAGAGAAGTTTGATTTGAGGGGTTCTCCTCTGTGAAGCAAAATCACATTCCAATAAGTCGAGTCCAAGTACCAATATTTCTAGGAATTTGATGAATTTAACCCTAAATTAAAATGCAAGTGGAATACAAGAGGCTTAGCAGAAACAGGTAGAATAGGGAGCGGATATGGGGAGAGAAGTATAACAGAGAAGAGACACTACCTTTGCCCATTCATATACAACTTCAACTAGACCAAACTTAAGATTCTCCTGTGCATATTCCTGAGGATCAACCTGCACGTTAAATTTTGCCTGAAGCTCTCCAAGTCTTATAGCCGTATCATATAATCTGAAGTACAGGAAAATCGAGATCCAATATTCATTAGTAGGAGGAAGCAATGATTTTAGAAACATGGTGAAGTAACATGTACATGTCATCAAAATGTTCGTGAGGCAATTATGCAACTGAAAAGTAATGAGATCTTACAATACAAACATATACAATACAAGTAAACGGAAGAATTATTATTGAAGCAATTTATTAGTCGGAAACTTGGGAATTAGGATACCTCTTCTTAGCTTGAGAAAGCTTTGGTGTAAGAGAAGGTTCAGAAGTCTTTTTCTGCTGAAAGACAAAGGCTGACATAATTGCGACAGCTTCTTCTGGTTCCAGGTCATTCAGTTGATTCTCAAATAAGCACTCTGTGCATATCAACTCCTCCCCAGAATTCATTTCACATGCAACACGACCTTTAATTTGTACTACGAGATCACTATCTATACATCCAATTTCCTTCAAAACATCAATCTGCATGTACAAGATTAGTAGGTTAAACAGATTTACTGAGCTTGAGATCAATATGAAAATAAATGTTGCAAATATATTGTCATAATCGCTAAAAAGGTTTTGTACAGAGACGACGCCACTTACCCGACCCTGAAAGTCAGGCATCTGCTGAAGTGCTTCATCCGACATTTGAAATTTAAGAGCATTCACTTCCTCTCGGTGTCCCTTTAACTCCTGTGCTAATTTAATGTGCTCTTCCAGTTTGACGCAACCATGACACTTATTTTGTGCCATCTTATGCAACAAGTTAGTCCATTTATAGTAATCTTCGACAACTTTCATGTCTTTCAGCTTCAAATCTGATCCATGATTCAATTGTAATGATCAATCAATTAGAAAAAGGCCACAAAAAAAAATGGACGAAAACATAAGAAAATGCACGTCCGACGTCTGGAGACGGCCACAACAGAAAAGGTGAAAGCATATGAAAAAAACAAATGTGTGTTGAGAAGAACTCGAAATTTAGAATAACATTCTGCATTTGTGTGTTGAAGTATGGCTAATTTCATACTAACTGTGATTAAAATATAAAAAACAATTGGGGAATTATATTATCAAACAACAATGACTTTTGTGTTTTGAACTATTGACTCTCTCATTACTGTTTGGTTAATGGTTACCAATTATGAAAACTGGGAACATTCTATGAAGTTCGTTTCAGTAGATTTCAAGCATAAGACTCCAATAATACAGAAACAAATTCAAAAGATTGCTTGCAAAGTTAGAATATCTGTATTTGTGCATTGACAATGGTAGACCAGGAAATGCGAAGTAGTTTATCCGCATACCTTTCACCGGATCCAAAGCTGGAGGATACTTGTTTCCATTTGAGCTCAGAGCCAAAAGCTGCTGCACTGTATTTGAATACGCACCAGCACTAACATCTTCAAGAAGTCCAACTTGGTTGATCTTTATTTTTGCAACGCATATGGATAAGAAATCATTATTCTGAACCCCTCTAACCTCATAGTTCACTCCAGCAGCAGAACCAAAGTGAGGTAGTTTTACGTTAACAACTCCAGTTCCCTTACGAGATGAGACTGAAGAATAATAATCGTCTTCCAAACCACGTTTTGACTTTGGTACTAATACTTGGAGATCAGTACCTTTTTTCTCTTCGCTACCTGATGGAGCTTTTAAGATTGAAGGCAATTTAGGAGTCAGCAATAAGACTATGTATTGCTTAGAATTAGCTGAAGGTGCTTTCACGACCACACCCAGTAAATGGTCTTGATCCTGCATAAGCATATATTCATCATATTATGTGAAAAAGTATGTGCAGATATAAATTATAATGAATATAAACCAAGCTGTTAGGAGCTCAATTAAATCCAACAAAACATTTAACCATATAGGACTACCGTACCCCATGAATCTATAAACATGTATCTTTCCATTTGGCCAGATTAAGAATTCAACTCATAATATACCTCCAATCGACAAAAAGTAAAAAATAAAAATAGTCACGTATGAGAATAAAACGCTTCATAACTCATTATATAGATATTTTGGATGAAAAATCCGTATTAACTTTATCGTTTCTTTCATAATTTTCCTTTTCCTTGATAACACATTCCGGTCCAAATATAAGGTTAAGCATTTCAATCTCATCAGATATAGTCTGGAATCTTCCCCATACACTAAATATATAGGTTAAAGACCAAACAGGCTAGGGTCTCCAAACTCAATAGGTATTGCACAAATGCATATTTATTTATAGCTATGGACATCAATGTAGACTCACCAATTGTGATTTCACCACTACCACCCTTCCCGGTTGAAGATGTTGTTGGGAAACTGGAGACAGCATGACTGCCTCTGTAATCATGTTGCTATACCGTTCAGCCTCCGAGTACATCTCATAATATTCCTCTATCGCCGGTTCACCCTTTATGCATCTACATCCACATATTCAAATTCAATAAACATGCGGTATCCCAAGAAATGATCATACCTGGACTAAAAATATCTGAAATATCACCAATAGACTTGGAAATTCAGGTGCAAATTAGCAGTCCTTTTGACAAATACGGTTTGCTATTGGCAGATGTAGTAGAATTATTATAAACTTAATTAAATGAGATATCAAGAACAACGTTTTAAATTTTGTATTGTTGAAAGGAAATTGGAGATGGAAAAGAAAGAGTAGCAAAGCTGATCATAGAGATGCCGAGATTGAATTCTGGAGCTACACAGAAGAAACTGAGGTTGCATTTGGACGGAAGGATTTGAGTGAAGGATTTCAAATCCATAATGGATTTCAAATCCTTCGTTCTCATTTTAAATTAGTTTTTGAGTCATTGTGGTGGATTTCAAATTCATCTTATTTGGAGTCATTTGAAATCCGTCTCCAAATCCTGTCCTCAAATCCAAATCCTTCATGTCCAATTGCACAAGATGAAGGAAAAGAGAATCTGATAAAGAATCTAGACCGGCATAGAAGAGGTATATCTGTTCATACCAATGCAAATAAAGTCTCACAACAAGTGCACAAAAGGAAAGCATCAAGTTTGCATTTACATACACCGTGCACTTTGCACTGCAGTAACATTTACATTGTACTTTGTTATCTACTAGAAAGAATGATAACAGATCTGCGAATCCTTCAAAATAGATGGCAAAGCACTTAAAAGAGTGGAACACAGAAGTTCATCAAGCCAAATCAAAAAATTGAGAAAGCCCCATTATTCACCCTAGCTTAAATTGATCTGGCTTAAGAACATGTTATAAGACTTGGGTCAAACTCATAATCTATGAATTCGGCAGGTGGTAATGTGTATCATTGCTTATGCAGAAAAGCTCCATTTCATGGAGAAATATGCCATTTTACAGTTCATATACGAAAAACATCTGCTAAATTGCTGAATTGACATCTAATGGGAATGCCAGGGCCCAATATTTTTAGCTATATAGGAAGAAGTCTCAGAATAAAAATTTTAAAGGAAAGACAAGGAAGCAAGTAGCTTCTACCATTCCAACTGCTACAAGAAAGCAAGTTTTTTTATGCTTACTCAATAATTTTGGTAGGTTGAGCAAGCTTTCGCATTAGAAGTTGTTGCTGCTCTGGAAGTTTCTTCTGAGCATGAAATTCAGCAAAACTTCTTTTCAGCATGTCTTCCACCTGCAGTGATGTTCCAAAGAACATCAATAAGTTGAAGACAAAATCTAGTCAAGCGCAAGCAATCAAGGAAATCAGAATCACAAGTAACAGGTCATGACACCTAACCAACCTCCATTGTGTTCAATTGTCATCCCATTACAAACCATAAACTACTAGATCATCCTCACTTATCTAATTATGGTTTGTTAGTAATAGAAGCGAGGGGAAGTTTCAGAGAGCTCTGCAGGAGACTAGTGGAACTGGTGATTAGTGAGGCATATTGTGGTAGAATCATGGAGTCATTGTTTCACATCATAATAGTGGCTCCCACACATCTCAACATTGACTTTTAGGATATAAGGTGGAAATAGTTTTCACTATGCATTCCATGATTTCACATATTACCTAGGAAATTTGTGTCCTGTGGTAAATTCCTTGTCAATCTTCCAAAAGGCATACCATTGGAAAAGCGAGCTTCCTTGGCCAATTGGATAAACTAAAAGTAAAGCGCATCACATCTGAAAACTGAACAGAGTAATTAAAGGAACAAAGGATTCATGGTACTTAGAAATAGAGATTAAAACTCAACATCATTCAGGAAGAGCTCTATGCTATTTATGGAACAGCAGTCAGTGCTGCTTGATTGACAGCTTGAAAGTTGAAATCTAGGGTTGGATTCAGCAGATACATAGAGGCATAAAGATATTGGCAAAGACGTCTTCAAGAATATTATTTTCTAATTCCTTTATGATATGGGCCTTTCTAGTCTAGCGCTCATTACTTAAACTCTCTATAAATCCGACTAACACACCTTCCGTTTATATATTCCACTATCCAGCATCTACTGCCTTTTTCGAAAATTTCGTATCTTCAGCAAGTCATAGAAACTTATACCTTTAATTCTTCGACGCGAAGCAGATGCAAGATCATGATATAGGTGAGTCGAAACTGAGATTCAAGCCTAGTTGCACTACCAACTATAACATGCTTCAGATCCTTCTCTTCAGGAATTTCATCACGGCATAGCACAACAACCGTACCAATTTTATCAAGTCCTCTCCTGCCGGCACGACCGGCCATTTGAGTATATTCTCCAGGAAGTAATTGTCGAAATTCCTTGCCATCAAATTTCCTTAAAGTATCAAACACAACCTGCCAAAGACAGGTGAGAGTCATTTACACATAAAAGAAATGGGCATATTGGTTTAGAATCTTTAATCAGATACCTCAATAACAATTAATTAGTAGAAGTGACTTTTAGATACATGCAAGTAAAATATGTGGGAATAATTGGACTTCTTTTTATGATAGGACTCCAAGTAATCCCACTTAAGTGATAATAATTATTCCCCATGTTCGGAATTATGCATTGTCCACTTTCTGATGATGAAACAGAAAGCTGTCCTTACTCCTTGGATTCTACAATCCAATGTACTTCCCATAACTAATTAGTTTGATCCTATAATATATTGTTCTTGTTGTCTCCCTTGCTTGCTCAATATTAGTACTTTGAACTATTGAACTGGTGTCAAACAAAGTTCTACCAAGTAACTATTTCTGTAGAAACTCTCACAAGTAGATAATTACCAGGATATAGTTGGCGCGCCAATAGCTAATAATCATTGCATAACTTTCTTTATGCCCTAATATAAGCAAATGAAACCAACCAAGCACACAAATAAACTCGAAAATGATTATACATCCCTGATCTCAAACTTCTCAGTAACAACTTACCGTCCTGGCTGGAGCATTGACTCCCATGGCAAATGTCTCTGTTGAAAAGAGAATCTACGGAAAACATAAGAACAACATTAGAAGACCCAGAGAAAAAAGATACTGGATACATAGATGTATAGCTTAAAATGTAAACACATTATTAAATCTAACATAATAACAAAACACAAAAAAAAAAAAAAAAAAGAAACTCTGAATATTAAAGTATGTTAGTAATTTCACATGAGTGACCACAAGGAAATCATCTCAATTGGACTGTCCATAAATTCGAAGGACAAAATCCTGCAACGATGAATAGGAAAGTTCAACATGTTTTAAGAGAAGGATACTTTTGATATTTACAAAATCTCGAGCCTGGCAAAAAGAGAGAAATCTACAATATCCCAAAATTATTAATAGTTTGTCATTATAGACCTGTCTTAACTCTATGCCTCTTCTTCTACTAACTTTGCTAATTGTTTCACACATTATTTTCTAAAAATAGTTTTGGAGCCAGATGGACTTCGGGGGAAAGGGGGATAAAGGGACTGGAATCTCACGATTTTAGAAGTCGATGGGGTTTTGCTTTAACAATAAGTTTTTTATAAAACATGAGCAAAACTCTTTCTCCAAAATCAAGTCAATGCAGGAACCTCTACCTGTAATACTAAATTCACTATATAATTGAGTGTCCAAAACACATACACACAGACATACATTTTTATGCATACGTATATGTATACATGTTTTATGTATTTATGAAACTTGAGTACCCAAACTACATAAATGTGTCCTTTCTATCTATATATATGCATCATAGGCAACATGTCCAAAAGAAACACAAACTAACTTTACCTTCACAACCCCACGACAGAAAAGCATTTCAACAACTTCCTTGACAATTGGAAGTAGTCCTGCATGGTGTACACCAATTCCTCTCCGAAGAAGTCCTTGAACTCTAACAACCTGTAAGTAGATGCAAATCAAATTCGACAAACCTAACTATGTTAGCAACCAATAAAATTTAATACAATACCTGCGGCAGATTTCTGTCTGATCCTTTTAGCCTTGAAAATGCTTTATCACAAAATACCCGAATTTCACTTTTCTCTGAGCTACTAGTGAGGTCAGTTCCAGTCAAGTTGTCAGCTGATCTATCACAGCGGTTCTTTGAAAAGCAGAATATAACCACCTGCAGACACAAGTCAGCTAGTTAAGTAATGTATTTCTACCCAACAAGATAGCAAAAGAATCCATCTAACAATCACATTTTTAAAAGTAATAAAATCGACTAATCTTCAATGCACACTTATTTATAAGGAATATTAGAAGTTCTTGCCCAGAAATGTTAAACCTGATCTGCCAAGGATAAGGTAAGCGAAAATAGCAGTTCTTAAATAGAAATTGCAACAAATATAACTCAGACACATCACTAGTAAATGGATTATTCTGGGAGACAATTAAACATACTGGTAGGAGGGATATCTTTGAAAGCTTATTGATAAGCGATAACCATAGAGAAGCTTCTGATCTCCTCGAGCCATAACTGTTACCACCATTGGTTTGAGTCCCCGGATTAGCCCCAGAGAAGTTCTGCATATTCTGGGATCCAGAATGCTTATTCTGTTTTGCTTGAGAAGAATTTTCGCGCCTCATAGTCCTGGCCCTTTCATTGCCTGCTGAAGACCCAGAGTAAGATCCTGTCCCAGTTGCTGTAGCTGAGTTCTTCTTTCTGTACATATCTTTGGCAGCTTTTAACCCGTGGGGGATAATCTTTTCATTTTCACAAATTTTATAAAGGTCTCCAGAATAGAAAAGGCAATGCTCTAGAGGGACTGGTCTTTTTGTTGTCCTGTTCAAAGAAAAAGAAAACAACCATGATAAAAAAAAACAAGCTAAAAAGTTCAAACTCGAGAGTAATATAAGTTGGCCTACTTGCATGTCCCCTTAAGGTTTCTCTTATGCACACACTTCCCCTATGGTATTTACACTTACATTTACCTACTATGACATTTGATAATAATTTACAAATTTTCCCTTCTATTATCATGCCGTAACGGCGTAACACAAAAGGATTACATTAGCAGAAAAAAATTATTTTCTTGTAAAAATCCAATTTTATTCAGCTGCCGTTTGTATCAATAAGAAATTCACACGACACCTGATGTTTGTTCAAATTTGTGCAAAATCAAACTGAAGTTCGTCCGATACGCAGAACTCTACCAAAGAGGTTTAGTTTCACACTAAAGTCACACAAAAATATTAAACATTCATACACAGTATAAAAATAAATGATGATGTCATACTCTTGAAATTCACAAATAAAAAGTGCATGAACAATTCTTATCCAAAGTTTTAATTAAGTTTGTTCTCCTAAGCCCTCTAGCTCAAAAGTCACGATCGCCGTCTCTGATTATCATGCAACATCGTGGATCACCATCTATTGGTGAATAAGAGGAGCGAAGAACAAGTGGAGGAATCATCAGTTTAAATAATGAGTTTTGATTCGATTGTACTATGCCAAACTAAATTTGGATTCGGACATTTGCGCTTATATATGGTATTCTTCATTGAAAGCTAGAAGTGTTTGAATGATTAGGTTTTTATTCCATTTTTTTCCTGGGATAAACTAAATTTCCCTATTTGTATATTGGAAAAACATCAGGGAAAGAAAAGGTAGTTGTTACCTGGGATACCACAACGCAGTCTTCGTATATTAGATGAACCTCACAGGAGGTTGTTACAATTTGATAGACCTAGGGGAGTTGTTCTCCATAACGGAGAAATAACGAGAAGCCTCACAGTTACGTATAATTTTCAATAAAGGGAAACGGCCAAATTTGGCCTCTCAGTTAGTTTGTACAGATGTTAGTTTTAGTGAAGGTAAATGTAAGTTGACATACCATTCGGAAGGTGCCTATATTTTCGGCAAATGTTAGGGGAGGACATGCATATAACTCTATTTAATACATAGGTTTTTCTTTAGCATAGTACAAAGTCAAGTCATATAAGATTCTAAACTATTTTGCACGGTGTAGCGAAAATCAAGAAAATACTACTTACCCAGTAACACGAATTTGCTTCTGCTTTGTCCTACCAATCCAATCAGCAAACTCAATTGTGTTTGGTACCTAGAAACAGGAAGAAATCTGTTTAATGTAAAACAACTGGTACCGACATGTAGGAAAAATCACCTTGTACAAACTCACAACTTATTAGCAAGTAAAAATTAAAATGACCAACATAAATCAATCCCGTCCATCACATCGGACAAAATTAAACAATATTATGATACAAATTATTATTATCATGTTACCCAGGGGAGAGTTTCAATTTCTCATCACTAGCAATGCGCCTCATGGGACATGTGACGACAATTCTCAATCTAATATAATATTTTGAGCAGGTTAACTTAAAGTTTACGTGCACTTCGCAAAGAAAGATTCTCTATTTCCATGAGCTAGATAATAGGACATCATCCAACAACACTAAGATTCAAATCGACATGAATGATTATGGGATGAGTAAATGGAGGGGGCACCGTAAGAAGTAAACAAAAAGCGTGAAAGCAATAGTTTTTAAAAGCATGGCAAAATTCATTTAAAAACTAATTACCTCAATTCTTCAAGATTTTGGTAGAAGAAATACAATAATTGCTTAACTTGTCAAAAGCCAAAACTGGCAAGTGGAAAGATGGGATTCCCAAGCCGGAGGAAAAAGAAAATAACTTCGCAAGGTTTGGAACGGATAAATTATAAATGATATACTCAAATTCAAAAATTCATATGGATTCATGTATTCTACTCATTGGCAGTAATTTAATAAACTCTCCATGTTATAAAAGATAACTATATGCAATATGAAAGAGTAACCAATAAGAACCATAGCAATAAGATCACCCTTTGCACATTAATAATGAACAGTATGACTCAACCTGATACACATACCGTGGCTGAAAGTAGCACAAAGTTGATATGCCTGGGAAGCATGATGATAACTTCTTCCCAAACCACACCTCTTTCAGCATCATTAACATAATGCACTTCATCAAATATAACCTATCTTTCCAGACACAAATAAACAAACACCAAAAGTCTCAGAACAATATTCGCAAAGCAAAAAAGAAGTAAAAATGTGTGAAATATTGATAGGTGATATAAAATTCACATTGCAAAAGGAAGATTAATGTAAAAAAGAATCTCACCCATTCTATGTCACGTATGATATCAGCCCCCTTGTAGAGCATTGATCTTAATATCTCAGTGGTCATTATTAGACAAGAGGCCTCAGGCCTCAAGCTAACATCACCAGTGAGGAGGCCAACATCAAATTTTCCACAAAAGTCCCTATACTTCTGATTGCTGATGGTCTTAATAGGAGCAGTATATACAGCTCTTGTACAGTGCTGCATATGTTCAGAACTTTATGAGAAATTGCGATTCATAAGCTATACAGACCATAAAAACAGTCATTCCAAGCTCAACAAGATTTCAAAAGAAAGATTTAGTTAGGGGTAAAATTAAAAAAATGCCTCGCAAGTTTGACACTGAAATTATACCATCTAGTAACTTAACAAACACAGACATCAAACTACAGTGACTTACTTTTGTCGCCAGGGCAAATGCATATTCTGCGACAACCGTCTTTCCGGCTGACGTATGAGCTGCCACAAAAACAGAATCACCCTTTTCCAGATAAAATATGGCCTGTAATTAATAACTCGGCTGAGAAACATTTTAAGTAGTCAATCAAAATATTAAAATGCAATTTCAGAAGAACTCGCCACAATATCACCTATACTTACCCATATTTATGAAACATGAAAAAAAAAGAGAAAAAAAAAAGACACGAGTTTGTGAAAGGAGTCTTGGCGCTTTCCGTTTAGCAGGAAGTAAATTGTCACCCATTAATCGTATCGCTACCCCAACGTCAGTAGGAAAGTGTTTCCCTCAAACCAAGTGATGTTATCATGATTCGTCATGTTATTATCAATGCAACTTGGAGATAAGTTGTTTAATGTTGCATTTATTTTCGTAAAGTCGAAGTATGTCAACGTAACATCGGAAATGGACAATACCTCTTTTTGGAAAGGATCAAGTTCAAAAGGAAAATCAAGAGCCATATCAGGAACAAGTTCGTGAAACCTTTCTGCAATTTCTTCATTGCCACCACGAAGAGCCCATCCCTGGAGATAAATATCGGCTTAGTCTGCTAAATCATGGAAGTCTGATAAAATGATGGAATTACTTGCACAAAAGATCAAGAATGCTACAACAATTGGGTGAAATGTAACTGTTTAAACTTCACCTCTTTCAGTTGTGCAATACTTTCTGTATTTACATCCAATCTTGGTTGTGTTGATTCCACTGATTCCACAGACAAAATTTCATCCAGAACAGATGACTCCTTCATGATAACATCATCAACTGCATGTAACTCTTCTTCAGTGTCTATTTCCAGAGATTCATTGACAGGCGCGATCGGAGATTCTGATTCTGGCATATGACCTGGATAACAGCTGTAACATTAACCTCGTAGAAGTAAAAATAAATATAAATTGTGAGAGTTAAAAAATACATTTGGGTAACGAGACTCGAAACTGTCATTTCTAGCGAAGCGGCAATTCATTTGATCAACAATTGAGTTCAATAATTCAAGAAACAATGAGATAACCACAAATATCTTGCAGGAGAACCATATTTACGTTAACAAGACTAATAAAATCCTTCTGCATGAAGATACAGCTATAAAAATAGTTTAATGAATAGCAATCGTGCCGAAATAGGAAACTTTTGCTATTCTCTTAGTTGTTAAATCTTACAGGACTTAATTATTGTATTGATGTAAGAAAATTAAGGTAAAGAAAAAATGAACAGCTACTGGAACTAATAAACAAAGTTACAAAAACTACTTGAACTAATGCAAGCAAATGGATATAGCCTGTTGGTTATCCCAATCTCAGAATGAAAGCACTTCCATGACTGCTTGCAATATTTTTTTCCTTAATGTGCATTTCTATGGTAAATGAAAATTGGAAACTATCAAAAAAATTAGCTCTAGACGATGTCATCGATTCTAAGGCTGGATCAGGTATTGCCTGATGTTATCAAATAAAGCAAAAACTTCTCAGGGCAAGAAATTTGCCACTGCAATCACCCTAAGTATGTAGTAAACAGAACTATAATATCTATATAAGAGCTCATACCATCTCCCACAAATTTCATGACATCGTCTTCCCAAGCTTTCTTGAACAAGTCATCGAATTGCATTGATAGCTCGATCTGCAGTTTATTAATGTAAACAGATAAACCTTATTAAAATAGAAGAACAATGATAAATCACTATCTCTTCACAATAAAATAAGACGAAAATCATGAATACTGAAAAAGGATCCATTTAACGCCATAATGAATTCAGAAGATCGTAAAAGTGCTGCATAACCACCTTCGCATCCGGCGTGCTCTTGTCCACGTGTTCTTGCTCATAAACATTCCATCTGAAAGAATGCGCCTTCAAAATTTATAAACACCAAAGTTAAGCTGACATGATTGATGAATGACAGAAGCAAGAATGTTAATGTGCTGGAGAGAAGGGTTACCTTGAGATCACCTAGATCCATTCCTTTCTTAAAGCCTGGGGGAAGGGTCAGTGGAGGACCACCACGCAGAAGCTGACGGGCCCATTCACCATTGCAAGCACCGTCAGGAAGAATCTTTGAGGATGAATCAGCATTTCCCAGTCCACCTGGGCGAAAAGGGCGGCTGTTGATACTTCCTCTCACAAAATCCTTTGCAGGTCCAGTAATCCGTGGCAAAGCACCAGAATCCTCAGGTCCAGTTGCCATTTCTGATACATCCACCTAAGAGTATAAATTGTGGAAGGAAGTTTATAATGCCAGAGCTTAAGGATGAACTCTGCGAAGAAACTGGAAATCGAGTGGAAAGAAATTCTCTTATTGATGACAATGTCAAAACCTACACGTGTATCTTTCTTTTTCTGGAAACCGAATGTAGCTTTACGAACATTTATGAACTGAGAGAAATATAATGTCGCTATTATATTTCTCATCTTTGTTTATGAAAGCATCAACTAGAGGAATTAAGGCTCAATAAATTAAGGCTCAATAATTAATTGTGCACAAATTATTTCTTCATATAACTGATTATTCTCCATGCTTCTTATGATTAATTTTTTTTTAATTATAATAAAATGGAAACTTAGAGAGAAACAGCTTTCCGCAGGAAATTTACTAAACAATCCTCTTTTAGACTGATGGCATGTATCGATAGATATACGTCCCTCTTCAACAGATTGAAGAGAGAGACAAGTTCTCGTCATTGTAGTTTCATGATACTGTATTCTATGCATTGTCCTTTTATATGATAAAAATGAACTGTGCCTTAGCCACGTGTAAGGTCTTTATTTTTTTAAATGAAATACTCTAACTAGGGGAAGAGGTTGTAATTTTGATAGACAGCAAAGTCATCGCAGTTCCCATAAATTTAGATCTTCAAATATCATGGTTTCTGGAGTATAATTTCAACTAGTTCATCCAAAAACCAATTCCCTGGCCTCGCTTTCAGTTTTTAGACCTTCACTGATTGACTGAAGTAGGCACCTTACCTCGACATAACCTACTGCATAACATTAACTAACCAGTTGGTTCTTTAGCCCAACATAACCTACATTAAATACCCAGTTGTTTCCTATTTCTATAATGCAAAACAGCCATCTCCAATCGGCACGAGCCATTAATCCCAATTAGGAAACAGCAAATACAAGATGTTACAATGAATCCACAAAATAATAAATGACCACTTACACGAATAAGATAGAATAGGGAAATCTCTCATTACATACCTCTAACGATTCAGGCTCCCACCTTTTCAGCTCTGATTCGCACTCTTTCCGCCTCGAAGGCATTTCCCAAGATGGAGCAACCACAGACCGTGGCATTGATGGCTCCAGCTGAATTTTAGCTCTGTCAAACCAGTCGAATTCCCACTGTCTGCCAGCATTTTGCGGAGAAAAAACATCTTCGTCCAACCTCGGAACTAAATATTTATCCTTGATATACTCCTTTATGGTTTCTGGTGTTTCCTTAGGGAACGCCGGCGGCTGTTCAACAAATTCATACAATCAATTTTTCCATTCTACAACCTAAATTAACCGCAATTCACAAATTCTGCTTTTAAAATGTTCAATTAAAAAATCGAAGAAAAACAGAGTGATAATTAAAATTAATTCGTACACATATGTTTAAATTAAATGTATGCAGAACAAACATAGATGAGAGTGCTGCTCTACAACAATGTAAACGTGATACAGAGTGTCCAAATTAACCCTAATTCACAAACTCTGCGTTCATAAAACGGCAAACAATGCAATGATGCAAGTGCGAGCATGTTCTAAGAAACGGCCAGAGAAAGAAAAAAAATAACGCAACCAGAATTATACAGTTCAACATAAGAATTTTTACGGCATTTCAACAGAAGAAAACTCACGAGAACGAAATCGGGAAGAGAGTCGAGAGGGTTGCGGCGGCGTTCGACGGGCGGCAGAGGTTCAACCCTAAGGCGGCCGCTATGTCCGGTAAACCCGACCCGGAAAGGGAGCTCGTTCGGCGCAGGTACCCGATCCATTTTTTCTCTACTTCACTCTTTCTGAGCAAGTCATTCGATTTTCTACGAATTATATACTCCGTGGTTTCCGGCTCACTGACATAAAAGAGAATGCAAAACCACATTAAAACCCGGATCAGGGGCAGAATTGTCAGACAGTAAAAGCATCATTTCAGTGTTAATTTCACTTTTGATTGTTCAAGTATACTTAAATTTCAATTTTAACCCCAAGTATAATTTTATTTACTTATAATCCCACAACTATATAATGGTCATCTCTTTGTTGGACAAATTTTATTGATAATTTTATAGCAATTGACTTAACATTCATCATTTTTTTTTTACTTAACTAAAATATATAATCTATCTTTGAGTTCGATTAGAACTATTGATTTACGTAATTGGAAGTAACCAATTTGGTTTACGATGAAACCTAGAATTCGAACACTGACCGAATTTGACCACCTCTAAAGAATAGTCTTCAACAGAAAATTGAAGAGTAACGGCAGCAAGTAATTGAGTTAAGTAGTTCCTCATATCAAATTATTGACTCTATAGCTTGATGTTCAGAATCATCACTTCTCTTTGCATAAATACTAATTGAATTTCAATTTCGGACATTTGATTGACTTGAAGTTTAATTTTTCGATCAACTACTATAATAAAACCATCGTCTTTAATATAAATAAAATTAGAAAGGAAAAAAATCGACAATAAAGATTAACAAATATATGGTTAGGGGTAAAAGAATGAATCACAATCAAACTTTTTCGATGACAATTGCGTTTTTTTCTAATACTGGCTAGATAGGGTAAATTGTTGATTATAACAAACTTTTGGGGGTGGTAAATATAGTTTTTCAAACTTGAGAGGGTCTAGGTGTAATTTGATAGAACCTTTAGGGAAGTACGTATAATTACCCTTTTATCAGAGTTATCAAAAATGGAGTTTGGAAGCACAAATACGTTGGCAATGGATGCAGCTATGGAGAGAGCCAGAGAATTTATAGAGAAAACCACAGCCGGCGAAGAAGCCGATCGCGTATCGCGGCTCACTTTCCCCACTCACCAACCGCACTCGGAGCCGAGTTTCTGGGAGTATTTCGTTCTCAGAGGTATTCGGGTCGAACAAGTCCGACCCGGTTCGTTCGTTTGCTCTTTCAAAGTGCCGCCTCGTCTCACTGTAAGTCTGCACCCTAAAACCCCATACCTACCGTTCATTTTCGTGATTCTCTCCTGGAGAATTTCTGAATTGTTTTGCTGGTTAATCAATTTTAGGATATAAATGGAAACTTGTCCAATGGCGCGATTGCCGCGATGGTCGATGAAATTGGGGCTGCGGCGGTCCACCACGACGGCCAGCCGATGGATGTGTCGGTGGACATGTCAATCTCGTACATTTCGCCGGCGAAGATGAATGTAAGCCCTCCCTCATGCAATTTTTAGCTTTGTTCTCAGATAGCTCCGGTGTATGAATATGATTTTGCCCTAATTTTGATCTTTGATAGGTAGTGCCCAGATCCACCAGTCACACACCATTGAAATAAATTTTAGAAGAGATGTGTAGAGAGAGAGAGAGGATTTAGGTGAGAGAGAAACTTATTGAAAAATCTATGTTCTATTAAGATTTAACAGATAATGGTTAGATGTTCCTTTTTAATATTCAGGCAAATCGTTTCACCGTTTTCTTTGTAATATTTACCGACTTCCCAAAGAATTTCTCGACACTTTGTTTCATGTGGAACTTTAGTTAAACTTCTTGCAACTTGCAAATAACTATTCTTTTCCGTTCGTTAAATAGATTGTTCGAAATTAGAAGGTTGATACTAGTTGATACTTTTTGCACATGTTCTACCGTCCTGGCATTCTAAATTACATGCATTAATGATCCAAAAGCACGAATCATCATTTAGTTTTGGTTCTTACAGAACACAAAGTCCATGTAATAATTGTACAAATATGTAACTAAATACCGACATCTTAGTACAGTCCAGACCTTGGTCCTGCTCTTTGTAAGCATTGATTCGATGTCCTATTGACATCTTCAAGCCATAATTTTATTTATCTTGCATTATTTTTTTGTATTGGCAGGATGAATTGGAGATTACATCTAGGTTGTTAGGTCGGCAAGGTGCTTACTCTGGAGCAAGTGTTCTCATACAAAACAAAACGACTGGTGAAGTTGTTGCTGAAGGGCGGCATTCCTTATTTAGCATACCTGCAAGCAAAATGTGAGACTCTAGGTACTTTTTGTATCGATCTAGAATGAGAATGTCACTGCTTATTTGTGTAATAATAATCTATAGTTGCTTTCGCGTTGATAAAACTTCCAGTGTAAATATGCTCGATTTAACCTATTCGAAGTAAGGGTCAGTGTGCATTGTCAGAAACAACGTAGGGGTGTTCGTTCTAATTTTTTTAACACAAGGGCTTTTTTAGCCTTTCGAGATTACAAAGGGGTTCTGTGCGCAATTAACTCTCTTATTATTAGTGATAATAAAAAATAGTGATTGATAGTATAACAGATATTACATAAAAGTTAAGAAGCATAAAACAGGCCACTAAACATTCATGATGATTTGAAAGATAAGATAGGATAGATCATGCTTCTTCACCTTTAGATTCAAAATTTGAACAATGCTCACAACACAATCATAATCAATCTTTTTTGTATCAATAAGAAATTACGAACGCAATTCCAGAATCAATAACAAGAAATTTCGGGTGGGGAAAGAAAAACACCAGCTGTTATATAGGTCGGCGAGATTTATTTTTTTCGTCACTGTAAAATTTGAACTCAATTAGTTTTGTATTACTCCCTGGCTTTTAACATGTCAATCCAAAGCCAAACGGGAATAAAGGGTCCAATGAATTTTCTCCGGAATGTACCGGAAGCTGGTCGACGCTTCTGAACCAAGTCATGGGAAGTTTTCCTTGAAATGGATAATCGCCAAAGATAACATCTGTGATTCCCCTTCCTTCCGATCCAGGCAACCAAGCAACAACCAGAGCTTCTATTTTCTCCAAAAGCGACGGCTCTACAACCAAGGGCCTTCCAGTAATTAGAATCACCAAAGTCGGAACTTTGTCAGCAACTAAACTTGCCAGCTCAGCGCCGTTGAAAGGAATTTTTAATTCCGGATCATCACCGCCGGATTCAACGTAAGGACCCTCACCCACAGCTACGATAGCAAATGAGAATTCTTCACCGGAAAATGTTTCCGGAGAAGGGTTTTGTTCGTATACCACTTCTGTATTGTGGTCTACCATTTCTTTTATTGCTTCCAACATAGTTGTACCTAAAAAAAACAAAGACCCCAGAAGTTCAATAACCAAATATGCACAATTCTCGAAAAAAAAAATTACAATTCACGATACGAGTAACTGGAATTTGGATAAAATTATTTACCTTCAGTTATTTTGCCAGATGTTCCTTCCCAAGAAATTGTCCAGCCACCACATTGATATCCAAGATTATCAGCATGCGTTCCTGCCACAAGAATTCGTTTCGCTTTCTTGTTTAGAGGGAGCAAAGGTTTCTTAGGATCCTTTCCATTCTTTAACAACACCAAAGACTTGCGAACAGCTTCACGTGCCAATTCTCTGTGTGCCTGAAATTATATATATATACATAAGCATTTGATTTCCGATGCAGCCAGAACATCACTAAGTTTGAACGAAGAAACTAGAAACCCCCCAAGTGAAAAAGTATGAGAGACAGCAGTTAAACGAAATCTTCAAGAAAGGTAATTGTCAATTACAGTTCTCGGTTATTTTGTCATATTATCCAATTCTCGGTTATTTTGAGCAAAATCTGTCAATAAGATGAATAAAGATAGAAAGTACCTTACAACCAACCAAATCTAGTAAAGATCTATCAGCCATGGGATGCTCGAAAACTCCAGAAACGAATTTGACTCTCAGGATCCTCTCTACAGCATCATCGATCCGAGCCATTGATATCTCCCCTGACTCAGCAAGAGAGAGAAATTCTTCCAAGAACAATTCATATCTAAAAGGAACCATTACCTGCATATTTGTGAGACGGACATTAGTTTTAAGGAATTACCAAACTAATATCTGGCAACATTTTCATTCAAATATAGTATCTACCATATCAATTCCAGCATTTACGGTGGACAGAATACTTTCACGGTAATTTGAACCATGAGGGGAATAAAGCCGGTCCAGAGCTTCCCAGTCTGAAATCACAAATCCCTGCAGTAGATCATTGTTTATGTATGAGATTTTTCAATATATAATTTGATAAAAAAAAAAAGGGAAAAATATAATAACATGATAATTCAGAATTGAAAGATGACATCAATGAGAAAACATCTTCTCGAAAAACGGAGTTAGTTGCATGCGATGATAAAAGATTCTGCACTAGTCATTTAGTTCTATGACTTGTATCACATTTACATTGTTATGATAAATTTTGACTTTTTCCTTCTAAAAATAAATATGGGAGAGCTTCCATTATGAGATGATGTGGATAACTCAGTTATATTTACCATGAATCCCAGCTTCTTTTTCAGAAGTTCGGTAAGAAGAAAATGGTCGGTGTGCAATTTCTTTCCGTTCCAACTAGAGTATGATGCCATTACAGTGCAAACTCCCTGAGAAATACAATCAAGATATGGTGCTAGGTGGATTCTCTCCAAATCATCATAGGATGTTATCGTATTCCCTTCGTTTGTACCGTTCTCGGTTCCTCCATCTCCAACAAAATGCTTGGCAGATGCAAGAACGTTGTTTCTGGTATAAATTGGACAGACAAATGCGCACACCTTTACAATCAGTTGAGGAGAAAATAACTAAATCACGGAAAACAAAAGTCAAATCAATTTAATATAGTCAAAATATATTTCGGGCCAAAGTGACGTTATTATTTTGGGAAAGTCAGGCTAAAAGAATGTAGACAAATGAAATATGGTGAATAAAACCAATCAGATGATATTGAGATTTATTGACAGAAAGGTGATCAAGATTGTCAATGAAGAAATAAAACAGGTTATTTATATAATGGGTGTTGAGAAACCACTTAATTACCTTCCTGCCACAAATGGGTAGCCTTTGAGATGCCCTTCCGGAGGCTGCCCTTGCAAGCCTGTGACGATAGAGGTCATCTTTCTGACAATTTCAGTGTCTTCACCATAACTTTCGTAGCATCTTCCCCATCTGGGGTCTCTGCTAACCTGAATAGGTATAGTTAACGATGCTTAGTACTAAATATTGATCATCACACGAAAAAGAGCAACTAAATGCAGCAACTTATTCGCTCAATAACAACACAATAGTTTGTCGGCAAAATTGAATTTGTCTAGAATGATTCAGCTTGGAAAAGTGTTACGAACCATAAACTGATCATGTTTGCTAGTAAAAGAGTAGTATTAATAAACATAAAGAAAACCATCGGTGCAACAGAAAAGAATTACATCACCCTAATAATCGGTGGCTGAAACATGAACAAGTACGCGGCGAATGCATTTTGCATAAATTTAGTGACATGTATAGACATATTGATATATGTATGTATATATAAAATATTGACGAATCGATATAGCTTACAGCAACACATGGAGCAAATGCATACTGAGCGCCGCTTGCCCTAACTTCAAGAGCTGTTACCTCCCCAATCCTCCTAGCCAAATCAGCATCTCTAAATTGCATAGGAATTATGTGTCATTAGTGTAATCATGTAACCAAAGAATAAAAAAGTTCCAAATCAAACAAAAAAATCGTATTACATGCTGAAGGGCATAGACATCTACAAATATCACGTAATCAAAGCATTAAAGAATTTGAATCGAGACAAAAATTTCATCGACGTGTCCACATGCACATGGGAATCGACAAATAAATCCAACAAACTTTTTTGATATACTGTCGTTTTAAATGAGTTACAAGGTGAAAGAATCAAAGGGATGCATTTACTTTTTGGACACATAAATTACCTGAATTGTCAGATTAAATTTCCGTTGACCAATACGTATGCATACTCAGTCCATAAGTACCGAAACTTTTCCTATTTGACATTTCTTTCCTGCATTGCAAACACTATCTCCTTATCCTTATTCCAGAGATTCCTAAATCTTCTCAAGAAATTATGCTTATATTTTCCAACAAAACACAAAATCTCACTTTCGCGACTAAGTTGGAAGATTTCCATCTCAAACAAAATGCCTTATTCCGAAAATAAGTGCTCCTGATAATTTTACTTTCATTGAGGAACTTCAAACTATGTAGGCTTCACTTTCTTCAATCGGAAGTGGATTGATCTGATAACTTCTCCTAGGAACTTGATCTAAATAGACAGCATTTATAATTCAAAATAGCTTGATGCATGATTCGCGACTTTTATGTATTCCTATTTATGGTTATCCCCTCACACTTAGCTTGCCCCCATCTTTATAAGTTGTTCGTATTAAGACTCTATAACAAGAGTAACCCGATCGTATTTAATGCATACATGAAAATGAACAATCACTAACATAATAATCTCCAAGTATAGTAACAAAGATAAGGACACAAAACGGAGATCCTTGGAAGTATTTAACACATCTTGTAACAGAAAATGAAACAGCAAGAGCTACAATTAAAAGGGGCTGCTCACCTAGTGGCACCAAGGCCAATGTTATGAGGAAAAATGGTGGTGCCATAGACATTGTTGTTACCATGAACAGCATCGGTTCCGTAAATAATGGGGATTCCGAGACGAGTCTCGAGCGCCCCCTTCTGTAAGCCATCAATCATGTCTGCCCAATCTGCTGATTTTGCATTCTCAAATGGCTTACTCCCACCCCCACTCAGCACACTCCCTAACCATCAACCACTAACCATTAGACCACCACAGGTGAATTAAACATCAACCGGAAATCACAACAACAAAATGTTTTTTAATATCGAAGCAGAAAAGCAAGACACTAAATTAAATGTGCAATGCGTATATATGTGTGTGTATGTGAGAGAGAGAGAGAGAGAGAGAGAGAGAGAGAGAGAGAGAGAGAGAGAGAGAGAGAGAGAGAGAGAGAGAGAGAGAGAGAGAGAGAGAGAGAGAGAGAGAGAGAGAGAGAGAGAGAGAGAGAGAGAGAGAGAGAGAGAGAGAGAGAGAGAGAGAGAGAGAGAGAGAGAGAGAGAGAGAGAGAGAGAGAGAGGACCTATAAAGCGGTCCTTAATGACGGAAGGAGTGGCGACGCTGCGCTCGATCTGGGTCATTTGGCCGATCTTTTCGAGGAGAGTCATACGAGAGAGGAGGTCCTTGACCCTGGCTTCAATGGGGGCGTTTAGGGTTTTGTAGATGACGCATTCCATGGTGTTTTGGACTGTTGACCTTTTTTTCTGGTTGCAGGGGGCTCACCTCACTCAGCAGCAGTGTGAGAGAGAGAGAGATGAAGAACAAGGAAGAAGATGCTTTCTGGCACCAACTTTTTATTTGTACGTGCAAACACAATATTTTATCTTTATCCTGATAATGTTAATTATTAATTAATTAGTTAACTACTGTAGGAAAAGCTGTGCAAGGAAATAGAATCTATTGAGTAATTAACGAGTTAATTTGATCCGGTTTTTTTCAGATTAATTTGATCCGGTTTTCTCATATTTGTTTTTAAATTATGGTCACCCCGAGTTAAGGTTAAATTATAAAAAGACCCATTTTTGTTTGGGAAATTACAGTCACCTCTTTAACTATGAATCTTCTTACACATTTATTCTTACGGTGTCAAATTTAGTGAAATATTCTATTTTTTGTGAATATACATCAGTTTGTACCCCGTTTTACCCCAATCGAACTCCACACTTTGAAACAAGATGATCATAAAATGTGTCATTTGGCTTGTAAGTTTCAGATTGTGGTGAATCTGAAATTGTTTTTGCACAAAACGAGTACAAATAATGAACATTTTACGGAATTTTGAAAATTGTGTTAAATTAGACACCATAAAGAGATTCATAACCGAGGAGTGGTTGAATTACCCAACATGAGGGAGTGGTTGTAATTACCCTAACATGAGCGGGTTTGCCGTAATTTACCCTATTTTATTCAATAAAATAGTTGCCCTATGTTTTGTTTAGCTAAAAAGTCTCACTGTGGATATTAAATGAATTCAAATCTACTATAGTAACTATTGGATAAGGCAAATCAGAATAAACCTGGTGAATATAAAACACTTCATAAACCAAATTATTACTTAAAAAGGCAGAGTACTGTGCAAATCAATATAAAAAAAATTAAAAAAAACTATAAACAGTAAAAAAAAAAACCCTAATAATCTAAACTAAAAATCTAAGGTACTGTTTGGCACTCAAGCTTGATCTACACCGTTAACACGGTCAGAATCGAAGAACCTATGCCAAAACCAATGCTTCTTCCAAACACGCTCGTTCATTTCGTCGATCGGGATCCCCTTAGTCTCCGGCAGCAAGAACACGGCGAAGCTGCCCATTAACACAATCCAAAAGGCGAAGAAGAAGAATATTGCGGCTCTCATTTGGCACAGCATTGTTAGGAAAACTTGAGCAATGAGGAATGTGAATATCATGTTCGTGCTCACGGCCACGAAGAATCCAGCCGTTCGTGTCTCGAGCGGGAATATCTCGCTCGGAATCAACCACCCCAGCGGGCCCCACGACCACGCGAACCCCATGACGAACACGCAGATGAAGCACAACACCAGGTATGCCAACGGCTTCGGTATTACATTCGTCGCCTTCAAATAATGCGCGAGGATCGATCCCACAACAACCTATACATATATATATACAAATCATTCATTAGGGTTTATTTATTTTAATTGACCTCGCAGACATAAAATGCTGGTTCCGCCACTGCATGCGCGCGTGTATAATTAATATATAAAAAAAATAAAAATAAAAATAAAAATCGATTAATTGTACCTGAGCAATAAGCATCTGGACAGCAGCTTGAATAAGCAACTTCCTCCTCCCAAACTTATCGACGCCAAAGACCGCAACGAAAGTGGCGGCAACGTTAATGCCGCCGGTGAGCACAGCTGACAGCAACGAAGCGTCCGCGCCGAGGCCCATCGTCTGAAAGAGCACCGGCGCGTAAAACATGATGACGTTAATCCCGGTCAACTGCTGGAACACCTGCAAGACCATCGCGCAAAACACCTGCGGGAAGCTCGACTTCTTCCTCAGGTTTCTGAAAGGCGTCTCGATCTTGGCGGCCGCCTCCGTGGCCCCCACAATCTCTTCGAACTCCCTCGCCACGTCGTCGACGCCGCGCGTGATCTTGAGGGCCCGCATGCCGTCCTCCTTGTGTCCCCGCTCGATGAGGCTCGTGGGGGTTTCGACTATGAAGATGGAACCCACGCCGAGGAATATGGCGGGAATCGCGGCTAACCCTAGAGAGATCCTCCAACCGTAGGGGTGCAAGCTCGCGGTGAAGTAGTTGACTAGGTTTGCGATTAGGATTCCGATCGTGATCATGAGCTGGAAGCACACGTTGAGTCCTCCTCGGTACTTTGCCGGAGCGATTTCCGATATGAAGAGCGGCACCGCCTACAATGTTTTATGTTGTTAATCAATACATACCTATATAATACAGATTAATAGAGTTGGAACTAGCAAAATCCTATTAATTTAGCAAAATATTAAATTATTGATTTATAAAATTATACAGTTGGGACTAGCAAAATTCTATTAATTTAGCAAAATATTAAATTATCGAGTTAAATTATACAGTCGGGACTAGCAAAATTCTATTAATATAGCAAAATATTAAATTATCAAGTTAAATTATACAGTCGACACTAGCAAAATTCTATTAATTTAGGGAAATATTAAATTATGGAGTTAAATTAGAGATACGGTACCTGGTTTCCGAATCCAACGCCGGCACCCAAAAGAACCCTACCGACGATGAGCATGTAAATGTTGGCGGCAGCGGCGTTGAGTACGACGCCGACGAAGAAGAAAGCAGCGGCCATCTGCATGGTGCGCTTGCGGCCGAACTTCTTGCAACACATTGAGGCGATCCAGCTGCACAACACCGCCGAGAGATACAACGACGAGGTGAAGAGCTGGAGCAACTGGTTATCGTATTTGCAGTAGTTGTTCTCTCTCGCTCTGTGCTTCTTCTCGTACACACTCCGGAAGAATTTCAACAGGAAATCGTCCATCGACGTCACTCCCCCTATACAAATTAAATCAAATTAAAAAATAAATATTACCGGATATTATAATTAATTCAATTTGTTTATGTATATGTATATATATATGTATGTATAAATTAATTACCGGATATGCCGATGTCGTAGCCGAACATGAGGCCGCCGAAGGCTGCGATGATTGAACAAAGGACGACCTGTCCGGTGAGTTTGGCCGGGAAATCACCGCCGCCGCCGCCGTTGTTTGCCGCCGCGATTTGTGGTGCCATGGTGTTGTAGATTTGAGAGAGAGAATGTATGTGAAGAAGATGTGTGTGGTGGTATGTATGTATGTATAATGTATGTATATATAGAGAAGAAGCAGAGACCAAAGAGGAGACGGATTTAACATAATAAGTTTGAGTTGTAGTTTAACTATAATACTATAAATTAGTATTGTAGTTCAGATATTGTTGGAATATCTGTTGATATAAAATCCTTTTTCATGTAGGATTAATATAGATAATGCATTATCTAAAATCCTATCCAATTTTCGTAATTCAAATATTAGTGTTGGAAATTTATTAATTAGTGCATTATCTATGTATTAGAGGGCCTAATTATTTATGCATAATTATTAATTACCATGTTAATTAAGTGGGAAATGATGAATACATAACGGCTTTTAGTAAATGTAGGATATTTTTTTAATTTTAATTTTTATCCCTATTTTATAACGCATTTTAGTAGCTATAGACATTTTAATATAAAAATTAATTCTCATCCAATATTTATCATTACCTGTCTATAGAACTACATTATTCTCTACAATTTTCAATCTCAACACATCTGAACAAACTCTTTAAATTCGTTTATACTACAAAATATTTTGTCCGATGGAAAATATTCATTATAATCGACTTATTTAAACCTCTCGAGATGATTCTCGTCCAAAGTAGTAACAAAATTAATATATATTATAAAATATGGCACAAAAAACATAAAATGAATATCTGGCACAAAAAACAAAAAAACAATTTCGCACCGAAATGAATTTTTTTTACCTCAGCCTTATCATCCTCCAAGACCAATAAATCAATGTTCTTGGTAACTAATGATGATTAATCGTGTGATATTCTTCTAAAGTAATGTCGATGAACACTTATAAAAAATAGTTTGAAAGAATAAGATGAGATATATTAGGTTTTGAATATTTTTTAAAAATGTCCTACAATTACTAAAATACGTCCTGCATTTATTACCACCCTAATTAAGTATTATGTATAAGGCCTAATAGATGTACAATTCCATTGTATAAGGCTACAATGGAAGGCCAATAAAAAAAAAATTAATAATAATTATGTCATTAATTAAATTAGTATTATTTCATGATTTATTGAATATGATACCATCTTATATATAAAGTTTTACTATTTTTTGTTTTCAAAATTGTAATGTGGCAAGCTTTATTGAATGACTTTCCTACATTTTAAATTTTGTGCCATTAACAATTGCAAATATAGTCTACAAAATATTGAACTTATGCTTTGCTTCAATCTTTTTTAAGTAAATTCATTGGTAAATGCTTATTGTTTTATTAAAATATTTTAACTTTTAATTCAAATAAATAAACCTTTTAATTTTTGTGATTATAAAATTTTCTATTAGTTGTTGTTGTGTTTTTTAATTTGCGTGTATGTACTCGGATATGACTACTAATCGAATATAACTATAGTATGTATTATGTATAATTGTGATAATTCGATGAACATGAATGTATACCAAGTTATTTACTCTTGGTTTGTTAATCGTAGAAATACACATAATCACGTACATCTATGTTTTGGTGCAGTTATCAATCAACCAATGTAATTAATTCCGCTGCACCATATATATAACTCTAAGTATTACTTGTGGAAATATAAATTTAACCAAAGAATTAAGAAAGATAAACTTAGGTAAGAATAAAATAACTTGGACTACAGGTACGTGCCCAAATTAAAATCAAACCAAACGTAGACCATAATCTCTTTACTCATAATAATACACCAAAAATTTCCTGACAACTCTCTCCTAATTCTTTCTTTTTAACATATATTACTTTTAATTTATATATATATGAACCCAATGAACACTAACTTACCTATCTCATTCATTTTCATCACTAAGTTGGTACACATTCCGCACACATGGAAAACGTGCTAATATTCATCAGCTTAGCAGCTGCCACATCAACTTATCTCCTATGGTTCTGGCTCTTGGCCCGAAAGCTAACCGGGCCAAAAGCCTGGCCGCTCGTGGGCAGCCTCCCGTACCTCTACATGAACCGCCGGAGAATCCACGACTGGATTTCCGGCAACCTCCAATCCTCCGCCGCCGCCACGTACCAGACCACCACAATCGCCGTCCCGTATTTCGCTCGCAAACAGGGCTTCTACACGGTGACGTGTCACCCCAAGAACATCGAGCACATTCTCCGAACCCGGTTCGACAACTACCCGAAGGGGCCGACGTGGCAGACTGCCTTCCACGACCTCCTCGGCCAGGGCATATTCAACAGCGACGGCGAGACGTGGCTGATACAGAGGAAGACCGCCGCTCTAGAGTTCACGACCAGAACCCTCCGCCAGGCCATGGCCCGGTGGGTGAACCGGACTATCCGGACCCGTTTGTGGGTAATCCTCAACAAGGCCGCGAAAGAACGCGCCCCGGTTGATTTGCAGGATTTGCTGCTCCGGTTGACGTTTGATAATATATGCGGGCTGACTTTTGGTAAAGACCCGGAAACCCTGTCGCCGGAGATGCCGGAGAATCCGTTTTCCGTCGCGTTCGATTCCGCGACGGTGGCGACTCTGCAGAGGCTTCTCTACCCTGGGTTTCTGTGGCGGCTGAAAAAGATTTTCGACGTGGGAGGTGAAAACCGGCTGAGGAGGAGTCTGCATGTGGTGGAGAAATATATGACGGAAGCTTTGGACGCAAGAAAAGAATCTCCGTCCGATGATTTGTTATCGAGATTCATGAAGAAGAGAGATGCCGACGGTAATTTTTTCCCCAGCTCAGTTCTGAAGCGGATAGCACTCAACTTTGTGCTCGCCGGAAGGGACACCTCCTCCGTCGCGCTCAGCTGGTTTTTCTACCTCGTCATGAACACGCCTCGCGTGGAAGAGAAGATCGTCGCCGAAATCACGGCGGTTTTGGGGGAGAGCCGCGGCGGAGATTCTATAAAATGGGTTGAGGAGCCGCTGACGTTTGACGAAGCGGATAAGATGGTGTACCTGAAGGCGGCGCTGGCGGAGACGCTGCGGCTGTACCCGTCGGTGCCTTTGGACTTCAAGTACGTTGTGGCCGACGATGTTCTGCCGGATGGTACTTTCTTGCCGGCGGGTTCGACGGTGACGTACTCGATATACTCGGTGGGGAGGATGAGGAGTGTGTGGGGTGAGGACTGTATGGAGTTTAAGCCGGAGAGGTGGCTCTCCGGCGGCGGGGAAAGGTTCGAGCTGCCAAAGGATGGTTACAGGTTTGTGGCGTTCAACGGAGGGCCGAGGACTTGCTTGGGGAAGGACTTGGCTTACCTGCAGATGAAGTCTGTGGCGGCGGCGGTGCTCCTTCGTTACAGGGTGGTGCTGGTTCCCGGCCACCCCGTCGAGCAGAAGATGTCCTTGACTCTGTTCATGAAGAATGGGCTCAAAGTGTACCTGAAGCCACGAGAGCTGGTGGCGCCGCCACCACCCAAAGCTGCTATGTCTGCATAGTGTGCAGTCATCGTTAATTACTTTTGCTAAAGTTCAGTGTGTGTGTGTGTGCATGCATGTTTATTTGATGTTTGTTGAGTTTCCACATCTGTTTGTGTGTTTGTTATATATATTCTCAATATATATATATATATATATATATATATATATATATATATATATATATATTGTCCGTTTCAAATACAGTTCAGAGTTCAGACAAATGCAACAATGTATTAAGCAGCTTCCAAGCTTTCATAACTGTATACTTACATGGGTGCTATACCCTTGATAATAATGAATACTACTAAAAATCAAGCAACTTTCAGTGTGTGTAAATTATATACAATAAAGCTGTATACCTCCATATATACGCTCATTCCAATGAGAGTCGGGTGCACGATTCTTATGGAGGTTTTAACTTGGAAGGCCGAAAAACGAGCCTTCGAATCTACGCTCTACCAAAATCAGCTAATAGAGAAGAACAAAAGAGCTCTTCAAAATTCAACTCTTAGAGCAACTACTACTTTCCCCCATTTGCTTTTTTCGATTTTGATGTGAAAAAAGCTCTATGCTTCGTGGCTCTTGTTTCACATGTTACCCCTATATACGAAGTAAATAACCATCATATATATATACTAATTCTCGGCTCTCAATCCACGATTTTTTCTCCAGTGGAGAAAAGATTCCAGACCACAGTTCCAACTAAGTAGAGACCCACCGAGACCTGGAAAACATCGTCCCACGACCCTGCACAAATAAATAAATAAATAAAATAAACTTCGATTACCCACATCTCACATCACAAAAATAATAATCTTTGAGAGGATATATAATATATATATACACACACACACACACTGCACACAAGCACACATACCATGTTGCAAGATATAACCAGTGGCAGCAGTACCAAAAACACCAGCCAGAACTCCAGCAGTATTAGAAAGACCAAGCAACACACCCTGTCATAATATTTCATATCAATAAATCATAAATACATAGTTATAACAAAAAATAAAAAAAATAATAATAATAATAATAACACATTTTTCGTTGCAGAAAAGACTTACTGAATATCGAGGAGCAATATCTTGATGGTTTGAATACAACCCTGATTGTGAGAAAGCATCCAATCCCTGCGTAAAAAGCAACTCTTAAGGGAAATCGAAGCAATTTAAACAACTGATACACAACTATAACTATTTTTTGGATATACTATACCCGATAAAATTCATGACTATAATGTGATATTTAATTAAGCAAAAATAAGTAGGAATTAATACGAGTACAGGGTAATAAACGTGAAATGTTTTTCTTTTAAATTTTTATACTTTAGCTGAGGATTTTGATTCTCTTCGACACAGCATAACAACACACCTGACTGCACGCCATACACAAAACGGCCATTGTAGGGGTTTCAATATGTGTCAACTGAGTTAAGAAGAAAGCAGGGCCTAGAAATCCAATCGTCTGCATGATCTGCATATATTTATCAAATTAAATTAATAAATCGAATTAATAAATACAATTTACATACGGTAATAAAAAGAGTGCATTACATTACCTTTCTAACAATGGTGACAGATACACCTCGGCTGACAAGAGTATCTGCAATCCAACCACCCAAATTGGCAGCAAAGGCCATAGTAAGCCACGGAAACACCGAAAACAGTCCCGACTCAGTAAGATTCAACTTCAACACCTACACAAGAAATTCATAGTAAAAAACCGAACACGGTCTACTTTATAATGTCAATTACGAATTAAAATATGTGTACCGTACTTCAAGAAGTAAATGACAATTCAATATTCCACTGTTACCACTAAGGAAAGTCAATTAAAAGCGTAAACAAAAATCAATTAAATAATACCTGGTGATAATAAGTCGGCATCCAAGTAAGAAGGATAAACGTGCCCCAGTTATGACAGAAATGCGACACAATAAGGGCCCACACAGGTGGCTTCGATAATATCAATCTCCACGGTATAGACTTGACAGGCTCCTTCGAAGAAGAGTTTCGAAGAATCAGCTTCTTTTCTTCAGGCAGCAGTTTAGGGTCCTCAAGAGGCGAACTATGTGCCTATGTATCATGTTATGCAATATGTAACAGCCCTCCATTATCGAAAAAAATTAAAAAAAATCTTAATTCAAAAAGCTATAAGAGTACAAATATAATTCTCACCATGTTAAGCCACAGAGCCAACCAAACAGTGCCGAGAGAGCCGAACGAGTAAAAAACAGACGGCCAACCAAATTTGTGGATCAACATAGGTGAAAATGCAAGACCGGTTACAGAGCCAAGATACATACCACTGTAAACCAGTGCCAAAGACCTACTTCTCTCCGATACAGGTACCCATTTCGACAGTATATTATTCATCGCAGGCATTGCAACACCCTGCCAAAAAATCAAAGAACTACTTATCAATCAAAAAAAAAAAAATCAAGAATGGGACGAACGACGAGTAAATGGGTACTAACCTCACCGACGCCCATGAAAGCACGAACGACGAGCAAGTAGGGCAAACCGAGTTTCGCGGCGATGGGTGTGAGTATTGTTGCTATAGACCACCACACCACACCAAACCCCAGAACAAACTTGCCTCCAACAGTGTCTGCCCATATACCACCTGCAATCTGAGCTCTCCATCCCATAAATATAATCAGAAAAACCTTGCTAATACTCTTAACCAATACATCAAACACGTGGTGTGCACATAAAAATACTGCAAAATTCAACACTCAATCGTTCATGTAGAAACAGTATTAATTAATTGTTCATAAGGACAAGTAAAATAAAGGCTATCTTCAACAAATCACACCTGAGTAAGAAGGTAACCCCAGAAAAAAGAGGATTGAATCAAACCAACAGTTGTCATACTCCAATGAGATTCTGACGCCATTGGAAGAATTGCGATGCTCATATTTACCTGCACCACAGCATCTGGTTTTTTTTAAGTATCGCAATTCTCTAATTAAATCATATATTATTCAAATATTTTCAACAATCATGCTTACTCTATCCATATTGCAGAGTAGGAAAGCCGAGAAGCAGAGAATCACAATCACCCAACGCCTCGGAAACTGTTCCCACCACGGAACCGCCGCGGAGGTGACGTCACCATCATCGTCGTCGTCGTCGACAATACTCGTGGCGAAAACTTTGCCGAACTGAACGGAATCCGGCGGCGATTCGGCAATGTCGCACGGCTCCGACTTCACATCGGCGCGGACTCTGCCGCTCTTTACCCTCCAACTCAGGCCGTTTCCGACATAAATGGGGCGGAAGTGGGCCCTCTGGCAAGGGCATAACTGTAATAAGAGGCCGGAGTTGGGGAGAAAGGTGGCTCTGGGGGAAATTTGGGGGTGGGTTTTTGGAGCAGAGTACAAGGAAATCAGCAGAGCTCTGCTGGTGTTCATGGCTGAGATAGCTCAACGGTTTATTGGCTGCCTTTCATTTATTTATTTATTTATTTTTTATTTTTTGTTTCATTTATTTATTCAAATATAAATATATAGTGAGAGCACTAAAATATTGCTGTGATATTTTATTTCAGGTACTGGTTACTGCTTCGACACGTGTCAGTGAAAGAATCCAAACTGATAACAATCGCCACATATTGTACGAATATCCTATTAAATTACCGAAAAAGTCCCTCATATTTAAGTAATTATAACTATACTCCTCAAATATGTATGTTCTTACACGTTCATCCTTAATGTCAAATTTATCTACTGAAAGGTGGTTTTTTTGTAAAATAATAGATAATTGAGGAAGTGGTTGTAATCACCCAAACTAGAAGAATTTTTTCGTAATTTGATCATACTTCAAGGGTAGCCGTAATTTGGCGAATAATAAATAAGATGTCTACTTGGTTACTTTAATTTGCAAAAATATCCTTCATTTTCTTTCCTCTTTCATTTACACAATTCCAAAACAAATTGCAACACTTCAGTTCAGAAAGAAAATGATGCTTCACTCAAAAATCTAAAGCTATAACTAACAAATTAATTTGTTGTGATTAAATTCATCTAATTGGGTTTTTATATTAAAATTAATTCATTTGTTTTCCTCTATAATTTTCATCCAAGATTTTCGAAAGTATATATTTGGGGGTCAAAAAGAAAAATTATTGATGAGCAAGTGCAAGTGAGAAGCTGGCACTTGCTTAAAGAATCATATAAATGAAATATGAACTCAGAAGAAAAAATGTCACCATGTCATATGATAAGGGAACAAACAAAATGTGTGAGTTTGAGAAATACAACGAAGGATTAACTTACGGTCAAGTACTAGATACGAAAGCATAAAAACGAAGAAGATGAACCTATTCAGCTTCAGACAGTACAAGGTTTCTCGATTTGATTTTGAAGCGTTCATGCTCATAAAAACATTGCAACTTGATGAAAATCCCGATCACTTGTTAAGTTCACCCGCAGAATGTCTAATATATAGATAGCTATTCTTACAAAGGAAGTTCACCACTCTCTGCAATAACGACTTTCTTCTTCGGTGTTCCGTTCTGCTTACCTTCAGCTTCTATTTTATACACCACATCCATTCCAGACAGCACCTCTCCGAACACAACGTGGCGCCCATCCAACCTGTGGACCCCACCAAAACAAGAGTTTTTCTCGTAGTTTAGCTATACCTCAGGGGGTTGATTGTAATTGACCCTAAAATATACTAATCCGCATAGGGGAAAAAAAGAGAGTAACTAGTTACCAGCTTGTTGTCACAGTTGTGATGAAAAACTGGGAACCATTTGTGTCGGGCCCAGCATTTGCCATGGACAAAATCCCTGAAATAGATACACAAAATAGGTAAACACATTGCCAAATGAATGGTTTCTAACTTTTTCGTTTTCCTTATATATATATATATATATATATATATATATATATATATATATATATATATATTAAATACCAGGGCCAGTGTGCTTGATCTTGAAATTTTCATCGGCAAACTTCTCTCCGTAGATTGATTCCCCGCCTCTTCCATCACCTAGAGTGAAGTCACCTCCTTGAATCATGAAACTTGGTATGATTCTGTGGAATTTGCTTCCCTTATAATACAGAGGCTTCCCGTGTTTGCCAATACCTTTCTCTCCTGAATATGCATAAATATTAGGAAAAAAGGGTAAAAAATAAATAAAATCATTTGTTAGTAAGACAAACAATTGCTGATCTCGTAGCAATTTAGACCCTTTTAGTAGGAGATTTGACATGTTTGTTCAAGTATCGACAAATGATCGACACCAATAAGATTAAGCAGCATACTGAACTTATCAATTAATCCAACTTAAAGCAGCTCTATAGAAACATAGAAAACAGAGACAATGTTATACCTGTGCACAAGGCTCTAAAGTTTTCTGCAAGAGAAAAGAAAACGACAAAGTAATCAGTACTTAGATCCAAAGAACTCAGTGACTACTGACCAGTGATCTAGTAATGCTAATGTATACCTGCTGTCTTGGGAACAGTTTTTCCAAACAGACCTATAGTAATGCGACCTGAAAAGAAAATAAAAAATCGTTACGCCTGAGGATCCGAAACTACAAAATATTTATAATCGATTCATAAGATATCCTCTTCATATTTGCACATTTATGAACTATAAAACGTGTACTTCCACATAAAATAGCTTCAGCGGATATATTTTTACGATAAGAACTTCGGATATACATACGCATATTTCTCTGCCAACTTGATCAAGCAGTTTATTCACCGTTAGGTATTCTCATCCTAACCTTTCGTCCATTAAACATCGACAACTACATTTAAACCGATTTTAGATAACCCATTTCATAAATAACATATTCTCTGCACTTATTCTCTGGTCAACGCAAGCAAACAACGCTACACTAATCAACCACATTAATTGCCAAGTGCATGTTTTACAAGTACATAAACGAAGCACGTCGCAACACATGCCCAAACAAGATACTTCTGAAATTAAAAAACCTACTTCACCAATTAATTATAAGTATTTAAACTAAGAAAAACGAGAAAAAAACGGCACAGCTGGAGATTTAGAGCATACCGGCAGGTTTTCCATCGATTTCAATATCAAAGTAAACCTTCTGCGTCACTTCCTTCAAATCTTCATGTGCTTTTTTTGCCTGCAGGAAAAGGGATACGCTCAGGATGAAAAGACAACAAATATAAGAAACCCTAGGTGAAGGAGATATGCTATTACATTGATCAAAAGGGGAAAAAAAAGTACGGAAAAGGTGAAGATCTATAGTTACTAGATCGGGAAGAAAAATCGACGCACTTCTTAACATAAGATTCTCCATTTTTTCTCAAATCACATAGCAAATCAGAAAACTAGGTCGATTGTTTTTCAATATTTGAATTGAATTAATCAGGATCGGGAGTTTAAAACATCGAATCTCAAATAAATTGTGAAACTTCGTAACCTAAGAAAATGAAAATGAAATATGAAAGGAAGACGAAAGCAAAAATCAGTAAGGAAATAAAAGCAGTAGATAGAAGAAGAAGAACCTGAGATACTGCTATGGCGAGAAAGAGCAGCGCAACGATGAGGAGTTGTCTCCCAATTTTCGCCATTGTTTCGTCTTTGATGATTGTGGAGCTTTCTGTATGTGTGTGCTTGGTTTTACTGACTACTGAGAGAGGGATTTGTTGGTTACATTATAATACACGGATTAGATGCAATTATAATTACTTATTAGCACTTTCAGATTTTTTTTTATTTTTTTCTAAGTCTAAAAGCAATTCCATTTCCTTGCCAAAAATTAAAAATAAAAAGAATAGAAGATATAAATTAGAATTTTGAAAATTCATTAATTTATATAATTTTTAATAAATACTTATAATAACTTTTTAATTACTGATATTGGAGTTAGTCTTAAAGAATTAAGATCAAGATACACAAATTCATTAATTTATATATTATTAACCAAATTTAAATTATTTAATATACATACATAAATATGTAATTATTTTATTAACAAAATTAATTTATTAATTCTGAAATCAAATTGCTGATGGGTCAGATTTGCGATAATGGTAAATTTATAAATAGGGTAAATTATGGCCGCCTATGAGACAATGTCAAACTACGAAAAAATCTCATGTCAATTATGAATTTTCTTATAAGTCCAGTGTTAAAGTCAAGATTTCGTGGAATGTTCTCCAGTTCATAATCGTTTTGTGCAATTATACAGTTTCTGATGCACCATAATTTGATATTTACAAGTCAAGAGACACATCTTATAATCATCTTGTTTCAAAATGTGGAGCTCGAATGGGGTAAAACGGATACAAATTGGAAAATATTCTACATAATCTAGAAGATTCCACTAAATTTGACACCGCAAGGATGAACATGTAAGAAAATTTATAATTGAAAAGGATGATTATTAGTACCCAAACATGAAAGATTTTTTCGTAATTTAACTTTATCTCAGGGTTGACCGTAATTTACCGTTTTATAAGTATTAGTAAGTGGTAATTTCTTGATGGTTGGGAAAAAACAACACTAACGCATATTATTATATATAGCTCAACTAGAGACTAGTTTTAGGTTTTACATATTGACACAAGTACAATTGTACAAGAGTTACAACATACATTAAAAAACAAAAAACAAAAAAAAAAAAACAAAAAAAAACAAAAAAAACAAAAAAGGACTATCATCACTTCACATTTATCCTCGCCGGAAGGCAAACTTCGGTGGCCGGCGTTTCCACAGCAAGGCCGTCACAGTGTACTAATTTCACTACAACATCGGAAGCAACACCGCACCGTTGAATGGCTTTGTCTATACTCGGACAAAGAACTTGCTCAATCCAATCACCCATCGCCTTTTCGCAGTCTGCTAAAAAACCCGCTGCAACTATTTGAAGCATTACTTCTCTATCGATTTCCAGCCAAACCCTACCCCCAGCTAGTTTTTTCAACCGCACGTCGATTTCCTTCAGTATTTTCCGAGCAAGAGAATCGAATTCAAATGATTTGAACGTCACGTTTTCATCAACATGCTCATGCAATTCTTCAAACCACGCGCCATCATCAATGACATCATCATCGTCATCAACGACATCATCGTCGTCGTCCGTATCCTCCTCCACAGGTAAGTTCAAGTCAATAACGGTGGATCTGGATATTCTATTACGAGCACGCTTTGATGCCTCGTCAGCCTTGCTCGATTCGTCGCCAATTGATTTCCTCTTATTAGAAACCGAAACGTTCGCCGTGTTCTTGTTCGTGTGGTGAATCCCATCACCGACGGTTGCTAGTACAATTTGCATCTGGAAATTCTTGGCTTGTAATATTTTATCTTCTGAAAATTCGCATGCAGCACCTTTGCCGAAAGGCGGATCTTGACTACTACCCTTTTGGACTAGCGTCGATGCAAGGATGAATATAGTGTTATTTACGTTTATGCCCCTGCCCCGCGCATCCGTAATTTTACCCGTTTTGACTGCTTGGGATAAACTATTTTGAACCACGATATCCGCCCTGTCCACATTTTCAAGAAGCACAACCGAATTAGGATTCTTGCTTATTTCTTCGGCAAGATAATCAATTATCAATTTTCTCCCACTCCCATTCTTCGGTTTGTGATATTTGGAGTCGTAAAAATCAACAACTGAGTTAGATGGGCTAATAATCATACCCTGATGACTCAAATCCAAAGATAGAAAGCTTTCGTTTTTTCTGCCAAATACTATCTCAGAAATCGAGGCAGCTATTTTTCTCTTACCAATTTTATCGGGTCCCATAAAGCCGACCCAAATATCTCTCCTGTTTCCAGTTTTGCAACGCGACAATGTTCGACTAATAGTTTGAATGGCTTCCATCTGCCAATAGACCTTTTCAGCTACAAGCTTCCATTCGGGCTCGAGTTCTTTTGAATGATAAATCTGTTTTTCAAGATTACGCAAGCAAGATGAAGAAGAATGAGAAACTTCACTGGGTGTTTTCGCTTTCTCATGCAAATTGGGTTTTCTTCTGCATTCCTCAGCAGAACCGTAACCTATTCCGAGCGTCAAATCAGTGGCAAGAGATAGATCAGAGCTCATCTTTTGCTGAAAAGGCGACGAGTTTTGTGCATTCACAGCATGTTCCCGAATATTTTGCTTCGACATGCAATGATTTAAATCATCTGTTCTGCTTCGATTTAATAAAGAACCCGCAACAGCAGTATCTTTCCGTAAAGGAAGATGCATAAAAGATGGAATATTCTCTTGAGATGCCGAAGAGCTATGAAGCTTCTTACAGATGTCGCTCCATTTCCGCTGCAAGGCCGCCACTCTGGCATCGAACACAGATTTGTCTTCTTTAGCCTGCACTGAAATGACAGAGGGATGTTCACATAACATCTCTCTTACCAACTCAATTACGTACATAGTATTAAGTTGTGAATGTTTTAAGGGTTTATTGCAATTAGTACCCCTGTGTTATATCGAACGCTAAGAAACTCCCCCCTCGTGTTCAGTTTTTTTAGCACACAGCCCCCTAAACAGGGGTACTAACTGTTCAAAAAAGTAAAATCATAGGGTTTTCTTTTACCAATATAATAACATGAGGTAGTTTTTTAACAATTCGATATAACAGAGGGGTACTAATTGCAAAAAAACTCTATGTTTGAACTCAGCTGACTTAAAAAAACCGGGTTAGGATTTAAAGAGTGACGAACCTCTACTGTGTGAGATCTCTTGCTAGTTTCACATTCACTAATTTGCAGCCAAGAAGGTAGATTTACAACCGATTGCCTGTCGGAAACTGAATCGGTTGATACACCTCCCTTTATAATAACAGATACTTCTTGCTCGTACTTTTCATTGCACGAGTTGCAAAAAAAATTCGAGGGTTTTGTGGTGGTGGTGCATTGACTTTCGAGCTCAGATGGCATAGAGAAGAATCCACCGAACGGAACAAACGACCTCATCAAGCTGCAAGTATACGAGGATGCAACTGTGAACATTTTTTGATAGGATTCAGAATCCATGTACAAATTTTGATGCAACGACGCAAAATAAACACGTAGTAGACAAACAAACGAGAAAAACGACAAACGCACAATACATCAGCGCTAACACATTAAGTACATACAAAAAGATAGCGGAAAACCGTATACGAAAGAAAAAAAACGGAAGTCTGACCTGGATTGAAAACACTTCCCTCCGATGGGAGAAGACGAAGAAGTAATGGGCAGAAGATGCAAATCCAAATCCATCTCGATCGAAGGAAACCGATCTAATAGCTTCTTGTAATCGTCATCACCTGCCAAGAATCCAATCAACCACAATTTTCCGACACGGTCGATCAATAATCTCTTCAAATTCGAAACAATATTATTTACGATATCCAAAGATTCCGCATCCACAAACTTCTTGAAATCCCCACAGCTTAAAATAATTCCGGACCCTTGGCAATCGTCCGCCATTTCGTCCACTTGCTTAAACTTCGATTCCATTGCCTCTTTGCTCGGATTTCCATCGGTACACTCGGAAATCTCGTTTTCGATCGAAACCACATTCAACCGATCGATTTCGTTGGGGAGTGCTCCTGTTTCGCCCCTCTTTAAAGAATCTGCGAAATTTCGATACGAATCGCTCGCGTAGACGCCGATGAGTAACGGGTTTCTATGATTTTTCTTCGAAATAATTTCGCCTATTCTTCTGGAGTTGTCGTCGGGTTTGTCTGCTGTAGCGGCGATTTCGGAGAAGGGGAAACCATGGCGGCGTTTGTTCTGTTCGAAATCAGTCACACTACACGAAAACAGGGGCGGGGGGCGGTAGCTGGTGGATGAGAATCTTGTAATGGTGAGAGGGTTTATAATTGCTAGCTTTATCTCCTGGGTCCGGAAACCCGCATCGCCGAAGACCCGACTGATAATCGGGTCATCCAATATAGACATGACGAAATGCTTCAGCTCAACTTTCACCGCGGAAATTGAAGGAGGGTTTTGGGGGTTCGAATTCAGCTGCTGCTGGTACAGGTGGAAGGTTTCGGGGTGGCGCCGCTGATTGGCTTGGGATCTCTTGATCGCCGCCATCAGCGAATTCGAGATCGGCGGCTCGTCGACGGCGGATTTGGACACCGAAACCCTATCGAGGGCGACGCCGACGCAGAGCTCCAGAGCTCGGAACTGGAGGCGTGGAGAGTACGCGCAGCTCCTGGCGCGTGTGCAGGCCTCGCGGAGTGTGGACGAAGGTAGGGCTAGTAGGGCGGACACGATGTGCGTCGACGTCGTCTGCGAGTGGCTCCGCCGCTTCGCCACCCCCACGGCGTCGTCCAGAACAGCGGCCGCCGCCTCAGCCAAAAATTGGCGGGCTACGCCCACCGGCGTCGGCATCGCCGGCAAGCTTATCCGTATAAATAAATATATATATATATATATGTATGTATCTATCTATCTGATCAGTAATATGTATAAAACAATTCAAAAAAAAAATTACTAGAAATTAAATAATATATTTTCCCAGAATGGGTCTTTTTTTTCTCTTTAAACAAATCAATTTGGCCCTTTTGGGTGAAAGAGATTTGTATTTTTTTTTTTTTTTTTGTTGTTTTCAATAATTATTAATAAAGATTGAAGCTTTGAGGAGGTTAAGAATTATTTATTGAAGAAAAAAAAAGGAAAAGGGGAGGAATTTTTGTTGGTGGGGCCCAAAATCAGCATAAGCAAATGGTGAGCATAGATTCTTCATCAGATCTTTTAATTTTTTTATTAATATTAAATAAATAAATTGTAATAAGAAATTGATTTGAATTTCATCCATGGAAGTGTACTATTCGCTCGCACCAGAAGGTAATCATGTTAGTCCACACAGGGTTTTCTGGTGGTCCTTTTAAGCAAAATACTTATCATGTATCAGTATTGAATTATATATACATTTTCGCCCCACAAGTTTGCGCCGGTTTTATATTTGGTCCCTTATGTTTACAAAAAATACTTTTGGTCCCTCGTGTTTCAAAAATTCAACATTTTTAGTCATTTATGTTAAAACTAACGGAACCAAGGGTGTGCACATCAATGACTTAACTGACCTACTAATGGCAAATTGACGGAAATGACCAAAAGCGTAAAATTATTAAAACGTGGGGGACCAAATGTGTTTTTTTGAACACAGGAGACCAAAAGTGAAATAAGTGCAAACTTGAGAGATAAAAACTGTAATTTCCCATACATATGCCACTTTTCAATTTCTTTCACTTTTACGGTTTTACCACTTGCAATAGTTAATCTTAGGTTTTTCTCTTCTTTTCCTTTGATAGTAGAATATTAAAGTGGAATATGAAAAGTCGGTTCACTGTCACGAGCGGATGATATTGAATGTGTAACAACGTAGAGAGCTGTCGAAAACTAATGAACCTAAGCTCAAGTCATTTGCTAAAGTCCCAAGCTTGTGGGATGAGCACATGTAACAAAGTCGGGGTTGATCCGATCGAAACTCATTTGGTGCTCAAGTTAATTGATGTGCTCCGGCGAATTTTGAGAAGTCGGAGAAAAAGTAACGTATTAGTAGGATTCTTATTAGAAAATAATTCTAAACTGGATTTAAGATTTTAATTGGCTTATTGCAATAAACTAATGAGACTGACCCATTAGCTTATTTATTTGTAGATGAGTTGTATTTTGAACTTATTAGAACTGTATATTACGTTTTAATTTTTATATTCTAATTCCTCAACTTAAAATTGTAAGAATAGTTTTTATTTGATTTGAGAATATCTTGTATTATTGACTTTGCACTTGTCTTTGTCCTCGTATCATTTGCTAGATATGTTAGTGATCACAAATATTCTCATTGCATGCAATTTATAAAAAATAAAAAAATAAAAAATAAAAAATAAACCATATAGACCTAAATTATTGAATGTGCAAATAGGTATTTCTATTCTATGTCTCAACATCAATCCATTTAACGTGGAAATCCCAAACACGTACTTGAGTTTCGTAGAACTTACATACATGATGAAATACATCAAGTCGTTTTACATCATTGATCTACACATAATAATATACTTAACTATGTATATATGTGCTTAGCGTATAGTTATTTATACAGATTTACAGCTTAAAACCACATAATGTATTTCGTCAGGTGTAGGATCTCATAAACCGTCGTATTTGTGCAGCACGAAGAAGAGAATTAAAATTAAAAGTGGAAAAAAGGGAAGAAAAAAAAAAGAGGAGAATATAAGTAAAAGGAAACAAAAAGGAAGTCATTGA